TTGCTTGCGGCTGGTGCAAATGTAAGCCAAGCAGATGATAATGGTTTGGTTCCACTACATAATGCTTCCTCATTTGGTCACGTTGATGTGGTGAAAATTTTGTTGGAAAACGGTGCTGATACAAACGTTAGCGATCACTGGGGATTTACACCACTTCACGAAGCAGCTACATGGGGAAAAGTTTGTTTCTTTGATTAATGATTTATTAAGGAGAATTATTCAAGTAGTGTTACATATTAAGCAGTGTTACATGCTTTTCGGAGTTATAAACTGCTTTTTCGGAGATTACTTAATTTTTCATCAATTCTTCATTTCCTCTCCTTTTTTGCATAGGAAAAATTCGAATGAAGTCCAGTTTTCTTTCTATGATGACGCATAAGAGATTTTTTACCATTAATTATTTGAAAATCGTTTTCAGGCTGATGTTTGCGTCCTTCTGTTGCAGCAGGGTGCTTCAGCACAGATTGAAAATTCGGATGGTAAAACACCGCAAGATTTAGCTGACGGCGATGCTAAAGCTGTTTTTACGGGTTCGATATTGTGATTTGCTGCAAATTGAATAGATTTATAAATTTAATAAATATGAAGATACGGAAGATTGAAAGTACCTTGTTTCTGCTACTTGCAGGTGACTATAGAAAAGAAGAGTTATTAGAAGCAGCAAAGAATGGAAATGAAGAAATCTTACTCTCTTGTTTAACACCCTTCAATGTTAACTGTCATGCTGTTACTGGACGAAAGGTTAGAATTTATTACTAATGAAGAAGTAAATGCTATAAAAGTCAACTGAATAATTCATGTTTTCTTAGATTGAAGATCTGTAAATTAGAAATTTCCTTTAAATTTAGTGAAATTTAATCTGATATCTGAAAAATTTAATCCAAAATTGAAATCCAGTTTGTTTATTCTGAAATTCAATTTAATTTTCCACTTGCCTAAACATTATATTTCTTGCAGTCAACACCTTTACATTTGGCTTGTGGTTATAATCGAGTAACAGCAGTTAAAATCTTGCTGGAAAAGGGGGCCGATGTTCAGGCTGTAGATATTGGGTATGTTATTATTTAAGTTTAATATATTTATGCTGTTGTTGAAGTCCAATATATAAGATTTCCTGTGTAATAATTTTTGCAACACTCTTTTTTATGAGGCTTTTTTAAAGTTTTCTTTTGGTGTTAAAATTTTTTCTTCGGAAATTTATATATTTTTGAAGTCACATATTTATAAAGTTTTATATTTACAGTTGTTATAGGGGCTTAGTACCACTTCATAATGCGTCTTCATTTGGGCATTTGGAAGTGGTCAATTTATTGCTGGAAGCGGGCGCCGATTTACAAGCTGAAGATTTATGGAATTTTACACCACTTCATGAATCTGCAAGTAAAGGACGTCTAGAGGTGTTTATAGATATTGTAAAATATTGTATAATTTTAAACTTTGCTTTTTTCAACTTTGCGCCTTAAATCTTTTGAACTTTGCTTCCTTAAATTATACGACTGCTTAGAAAATTTTAATTTCAATCGTTCCAAGGTGGTGAGATTACTGGTAGCTAGTGGAGCTGATCCAACACGTAAAATTGACAATATAAAAGCACCTATCGAATATATTACTGATGAAGATGCTAAAAAACAAGTGCTTCATGAATATGAAGGTTATAAAATTTATATGGCGGCACAAATTGGTGATGTTCTTATGGTTCGTAAATTTTAATCATGTGAAAAAATGCTTGAAGTTTTTGTCATGACAAATTGTGCAGAAATTTTAGATGATAAAATATACATTGATAAAAAGGATTTTTTGATAAGTCATTAGGCTGTGTGGTTTCGGATAATACGTTGTTTGTTGGAATTGAATTTTTAATTTGCATGTAAGTTGGTTTATTTTCAGTTGAAGAACCTGCTAAGTGAACGAGATCCTAATTACGTACATCCGTGCCTAAAAGAAACTCCACTTCATGCAGTTGCAGGCTCAACTCATCAGAGAAGAAAAGTAATTGCTGAAATACTTTTGAAAAATGGTTGTCCTTCTGGTGTCCTAAACAGAGAGTACGTTTTTACGTGAGATTCTTTTCATCGGTTTCGATTACTATAGACTTTAACGTTTTTATATCGATTTCGACTACACTTGCGGCAGCATGCTACAGATAATTTTTTTAAGCTCATTCTGATGAAAACATTTAATCTTCTCAAAATTATCAAGATATAAATAACTGATTTTTTTTTCGGTTTTTAGTGGTTTATCTGCACTTCATATTGCGACAAAAATGTGTTCATATGATGTGTTGGAAGTATTGATAAATTACGGAGTTAATATTAGTGAATTGAATAGCTGTGGTCAAACAGCACTCCACATTGCAGCTGAAAAAGGAGACTTTGATTTGTGCAAGTGAGACAGTTGCTGTTACATTTCTTACGTTGCTATAAATTTTTGAAACTAAGATTCCTTTATGTTAACTTGTTTTCTGCTGCTAAGTCAATTAAACCCATTAATTTGAAAGGTAAAACAAGGTATTCATATTTACTTTTCTCTTGGAATTTATCAGTTTTTTCAGATCGAAATGAGTGGTTACTGTAGAATTAATGGAAATTTTTTGAAAAGTGATGACTCATTTCAGACGATTGCTTAACTATGGCTTACCAACTGATCTGAAAGATAATGAACAAAAAACAGCAGCTGATATTGCAGGAAATATTGAAATTAGAGATTTAATCAATCGCTGGAGCCTAGAAAAAACAAACATCATAGAAAAGCGCTACAAAGTAATGAAACGTTTAATTTTGTTTGACATCTTCGTTAACTTTGATAAAAAAACCTCGTTTTAAAATTCCTACATTCTCATTTCTTGCTCTCACTCGTTTTTTTTTCCAATTAAACTAATAATCTCTTATTCCGAAGCATTTTCTAGTTCTGATTTATTTGTTCAATAAATTTTTTCGTTGAGAAGTGGTGGGCTTGCTTTATTGTTACTTTTTCCTGTTGCTGTTTCTTTATCGTAGACTGCTATGACATCACTTGAGTGTCTAACACAGTTTAACACTATGGAAAAGCGCTGTAAAATAACGAAACATTTAATTTTGACACAGTTAATCTTATGAATTACATATCTTACCTAATTAGTTCCTCATTCAGGCACTTTTTTACTTTTTCTTTTTGAAAATAAGATAGTATTAGGACTTTAATGCATAATGTAATCAATGTAATTCAGCTATATATAATATAAACTGTGAATCACTGGATGGAATTAGAAAGATAAAGTATGTTTTAGTTATTTTTTGACATTTTTTAAAGGGAAACAAAGGTGTAAAATGTGGTAGACGAAGGGGTGGCTGTAATTACTGTCTTGAAAGCCGAAATCGCGGCAGTGGTTCTGGAAGCGCTCTTTCAAATAAGCTTGAAACACCAGAAGTACACTGCAGTGCCACGAGACATTCACAAGAATTAGATCTACTGGATGCTGCAAGATGCGGTGATCTTTGTACAACAAAGGTAGGACAGGTTTTCTAATCTATGCTGCTCTGCTGTTCTTTTGTTCAATGAGCTGTCCCTCTTGCAGTTATCTTTTTTTTAACTTTTTGATCAAATCAAAAACGAGATCAAAATTGCATTGTGAGCTTTCGGTTTCTACTGCAGCTGATAATTAAAATGGTCATTTATTTGCACCAACATTTCTATTAGAACAATGTATTTTAAGTGCAATGTGATGCATCTTTTCGATTACCGAACAGCTTTTTCATTTAAGGCACTAGTTCTTTCATATCTATTATGTAGAACGCATATTTTAGGGTTTGCGATAGGTTCGAATATGTTAGTTCGTCATTGAAATTTTACAGCGCATAATTGAAAGTTATGGAACAAAAATTATAAACTGTAAAGATTTTGACGGTCGCGAATCAACACCCTTACATTTTGCTGCTGGATATAATCGGGTAGAAGTACTGAAGTATCTATTGGAAAAGGGCGCTAATGTCGAAGCAAGGGACACAGGGTATGGAATTCAAATTTGGTTTCTATACATTGATTTGTTAATTTTCCAACTGTTTGATTGAATTAGGAAATGTTGATTGCATTTATTATCTATTACTTTTCTGAGCCAGCATAGCCAACATTAGAAGAAATTAAGGTCATCAAAGCTTCTTGCATTTCATTACTCTGCTTTTCAGTTGGTTAGTTCCGCTGCATAATGCATGTGCATACGGGCACTTGATTGCTGCAGAATTACTTGTAAAGGTTAATTTCTGTTACTGATTAACCTTCATAAAAATCGCATGTTATATTAAGGTTCATGATTTCATTATTCAGATGGAAGTCCTCAAAAATATAACAAATTCTCAGTCTTGGTACTTGTATTTTATAAACTGAAAACCACGAGGCGTAATAAATCAATTTGAATTTATTTTCATGCTAAGGTCGCTATACAAGGGTTGCATATGTTTTTTTGAGTTTTTAATGCTATTGGTGCTTAGTTATTGGAATTCCAGCATGGCGCTGATTTAAATGCCATCGATAAATGGGGATATACTCCTTTGCACGAAGCCGCTTTAAAGGGGAAGTTTGACGTCTGTAAACTTCTTCTCCTTAATGGTGCTGACCCGAAGCATAAGGGACGTGATGGAAAGATTCCGTTGGATGTTGTCAGAGAAGGTAAGTTTTACCCCTGCATAAACATGGTTTCCACAAATAATTCTCAGTAATTTTAACTTTAAAAGTAAATGCAAAGAGATTTCTGTAAGTATATGAAGATTATTCAAATATCCTTACCTCTAACCGAGTTTGCAACTTATTTGCATTTTTAGGGGCGGAAGACGTGTATAATTTGCTGCGCGGTGATGAAGCGGTGCTTGAGGCAGCTAAAGAAGGTGATGTTGAAAAAATTCGGAAAATCATTATCCCAGAAACTGTCAATTGTCGCGATGTTCGAGGACGTTTTTCAACACCGTTACATTTGGCCGGTAAGTTTTCATAATCGTATCCAAATTCTCCAAACAAGTTGTGAAATTGAATCAGGTATTTTGTTATTACTTCCGAAGGGTATATTATGGAAAGCTGAAAGAAAAAAGATGATCTATGTAATATGCTTTTTTTTCAAATTTTTCTCTAATCATATTGATAAAAATATGGGATATTTCATTGATGCAAACCCTCTTTTGTGAAATCTAGCTTTTCAAATGAAGGAAAAATGAATTTGCTTCAGCTGGCTATAACAATTTGGAAGTTGCGCGATTTTTGCTTGAAAATGGTGCAGAAGTTAATTTGAAAGATAAGGGTGGTCTGATACCATTACACAATGCGAGCAGTTTTGGACACCTGGAAATTGCCAGCTTGTTAATTGAATATGGAGCCGAAGTGAATCATCCTGATAAATGGGGATATACTCCTCTGCATGAAGCTGCCCAGAAAGTAATGCTATCGTTACTCGCAACACATTCTATTATGTATATATTAGTCTTCGTCAGAAAGATGTTGTGAATTTACTAGTTTGCTTATTATGATCTAAAATTTTGTAGGAGCAATCATTGGTTAGAAGAAAATTAGTAGTTATTAGTGGTGATATTGCTAAAATTTATTCATTTTTGCTAAGATTTATTCATTTCAGGGTCGTACTCAGATTTGTTCACTACTTCTAAATAGCGGTGCGGATGTTACATTGAAAAATAACGAAGGTTTTACTGCACTGGATATTACTGTTGCAGAAGACACGAAAGTGTTGTTAATGGTACATTTTATTATTATTTTTTTTTAAATTTATATTGTATGTAGTAGGAGCTTATCAGAGAATTTAACGTTATTAATTTTCTCATATCTGAAGAGCACACTTTGACCCTTCTGTTTCATTCAGAGCGCAGTGCCGGTGGATCTGAAAAAATTAACAGCTGTCCATGTTGTGGGTGATGCAAGTGGATCAGTGGTTGATTTACCAATCCCATCTTTTGTGCGGGAGATTCCGAATAATGCAGCTAATGACATGCGATTAAGAATGGTTACTTGTTTGAGACAAGATACAAATTTAGGAACTGAAAAAGTAATATTTTCTACAGTTTCAAGATTTTTTGTCAGATGTTTCATTTCCTATTACAAGTATTTCATTGGTGTTGATGTGAAAAAACATTTGTTACATGTTGGTAATCCAAATTCAAGGATTTTGCAGTTCTTGCTTTCTTTATGATTGAGCAGGCAAGCTGTTTGGGTAGATCTCAGGGTTTTATATTTGAATTTATTTAATTTAATTGTTCAAGAACAAAATTCATGCGTTAAGAGAAGCTGTAAAAAGTATACACAGTAGTAGGAAACTGCGCTTTAGAATATTGGAGTTAAAGTACATTGTTAAAATTAGTGCACACTGAACAATTTTACTGCGTTTAATTCTAGGACACTATTCTTTAGATTTCTAAACTTTCGAATAATAAAGTATTCCGTTTCCAGATAGAATGGAACGAGTATGAAACAATGTTCTCTATGGATAAGTATTTGCTATCGATTGGTCTAAGTTCGCTATCGAATCTATTTGCTAAGGAAAAAATTACATTGGATGTTCTAGCTGTTATGACACATGATGATTTGAAAGCTATCGGTATTGATGCTTTTGGAACCCGCTTTCGATTGCTTAACAACATTGGAAAATGCGTAGAGAAAAGTAAGGTATTTTGTCAATTTTTAACGCATTTAAACCGAAACTGGATAGTTAAAAGTAAATTTTTTTTTTTCATAATTTTAATTCATCTGAAACAAGGTATAAAATTTGGGAATGATTACAATCAACATTTTTTGAAAATCGTTCAGCGTGGATCAAAGGACTGATATACATACATATAATATATTTCTTGCAAAAATATAAACATGATTATCAGTCAGCTATGATCAATTTGTTCAATATAAACATGATTATCAGTCAGCTATGATCAATTGTTTATTGTTATTGGGTCAGATTTACTGGCAGTTATTTGAAAAGCTGAAACAAAGATCGGGTTAATCGCGGTGCATGTTTTGAAATATCGCAGTTTTCCGTTACTGTTTGTTGGCATCCCATCTAACTATGTTATTCGCTTATTTCACATACTCTTAAAACATGTATTTAGATAACAAAAATAGGAATTCGCCGAATAATATCCATATACCACTATCGATGGGCACAGTGTTAGTACAAATTGAGCGTTCAAATGAAATCTTCCAGCAAATCGAAGAAGAAATGAATTCTACGATTGTATCACACCAAGATCTTGGTTTGGGCGGAACATACACCAAGTTTGAAGTAGTTGAAATACAGAAAATTATCAACAAAAAAGTTTATGAAAGGTGATAAATTATCATTATAGAAGGACTCACAGAATAAATTAATCAATAGTGAACGATGCGTGAGGATGACAACAATAATTTATAAAATTTATTAAGAATTTATAAAATAATAAAAAATTGTTAAATATAAGTTTTCGAGATCTAATTTTGTGAAATAAATTCTTTCTCTTAGTTGATTTCAACCTTAAAAATAAAAGACTTTCAAATTCGTTTAATTAACTAGCTAATTTATTAATTTTTAAACTCTTTTTACAAAAGATATATACGACGTCGTGGAGATATAGCAGAAGAGAATTGTGGTGAGCATAACGAGAAATTTTTGTATCATGGATCACCGTTTATACACTGCATTGTACAGAAAGGTTTCGATGAAAGATATTCATATATGGGTGGTATGTTCGGTGCCGGTGAGTTAATTTAGATTTGTTTAAATTTGGGAAGTTAATGAGTAAAAAAATTCTTTTTATGGAAGGCGTTTTTATGCTTGAAATTTTGTAGCATGAGAATTTTAATGCTTCTCTTGTACTGAATTCAGTGTAAGATTCACCTGCACTTAAAGTGCATTTGGTGATAGCCTCACAATTACGCACTGAGTCATAAAACAAGATGTAGTGAACTTATGTGAGAGATGGATCAGTTATATTAACCGCACAACTTTTTTTATTATGTAGTAATTGATTTTATTATTTGAAGAACATGAAAATCACTTGTTAACTTTTCAAGTAGCAACTTCGTACTGCAGTGCGTATGTGTGTAGTGCTATAAATTTGATCTAATCATAGATCACGTTAAGGTGAATCATATAAAAAGCTAATCAGATGTATTCAAAAACACTTATAGGCATTTATTTTGCGGAGCATTCGAGCAAAAGTAATCAGTATGTATTTGGTATGGCAGGCAGTGGTTGCAATCTTCACCATGATCGTTCTTGTTACATCTGTGTACGGCATTTATTACTTTGTCGAGTGACGTTAGGAAGATGCTTTGTACAGGTAAATTGTTCCAATTTTTGATTGGAATGAGGTCATCGAACAATAACGAATTGGGATTGTTTTGTTTTGAAAGGTTTCTTTCATGTAGTAACATACTTTGAGTTAGTAGCACAATCTTACTTTTATTCCAACTTCATTACTTGGCAGTATTTTTTGCCGTCTTCATGGTGGTGGTTTGAAATATCTCTATTTATAGAATTCTTGTAACAAGATGGCACATTCACCACCTGGTCATCATTCAGTGATGGGACAACCACGTGCAGGTGGTTTAAATTATCCAGAATATGTCATATATAGAGGAGAGCAAGTGAGTAGTTTTTTCATAATTTTTAATCAAATTTTGTATTCCAAAAAATTTCGTGAGTTGGATGCGGGATGTTTAAAAATTATATACCGTGAAAAGGTTGTTTATACGAATGGAACTTGAATTTCGAAAATATTTTGAGGTTCAGTCTATTTTTAAATTTGAGATTTGAAGATTTTGAGATTAAATTTGAAGTTGTATTTTAAATCTTTTAAATTTAAATTCAGTCTATTTTTAAATATTTTTTAAATTTGCATGGTACTTTCAAAAAGATTACCTATTAGTGAAGTTTAGTCTGATAAGCGTTTCAGTATTTTGGTCTGACGAATTAAAGCGTTCTCAAGCGCTATCATCACTATGGAGTTGAGAGAGTTTGAAGATTTTGTAGAATAATATTTATATATTTAAATTAATATTGTGCACTTGTAATGTATAAATGTTAATACATGGCCTTTTGGAAAGGAAATATTTTACAGGCCTATCCGGAATATGTGGTCATTTATCGAATAGTTAATGACAATTTGGGGCCTGCTTCGTAATTGTTGTTTTCACATTGATTACTTTCAATTGGTTTTTTATGCAGCTAAAAAACTATTCTAGAAGAAATTTAAATCTTATATATGTAAAAAATATGCTGCATCTAAAGTGATAGAAATGTTTTTCAATGTTCGAAGCATATTTAAGAATGTTCTAAGCATAGCAACTGTCTACAAATTTTATTATTTGGTAAAAAGACGTGGGAGTTTTCTCAAAGAGATTGACTGTATTTCTGTGAATACTATGAACGAGCTTATATCAGTTAGTACGAGTTGCTGCTATTTTTCCAGAATTTTTTCAGAGTCATGTATAAATTATTGTCAATATTGAGAAATTGCCTAAAACGTTGAGCGTTAAAAACTGATTGCTTTTTTCTGAAATTTCCCAAAAAAATTTTTAAATTCTCAAATATGTTTTTGAAGTGGGTAGAGCTCATGTGACAATGAAGTTGAGCATTTTTGATTTTTTTGCGTGTGAGCCTTTCTGAGATTTCACCTTGATAAAACTATGTCAGCCAAATTAGATTATATTATTTCTAAAAAAGAGGAGAAGAAAGTAAACGATGAATATACTATTATGAAGTCTAACAAGATTACCGACGTTCATTAAATATATTTACAGGAGTTAACTTTACAAATAATGTAAGAGTGTGCCATGAAACTGGTGCTTTCATTTGGCTATAGTTTTTACACTTAACATATTAACACAATGTACTGTATCGAGAAAAAATGTCACTGTAATTTGTTCACATGTTTTCATTTCTGATTTATTTGTATTTTTTACAATTTTATGTGCTATTCTTTTTAAACACGTTTTCTATCCAACTGCTCTAGGATTAGTCGTTAAATCTTAATCAGGTGTTGTGATTATATGTGCAAACATTTCACATTGAGAACAGTTTCCTTTATTTCCATTTTTCAAATATTTCAAAAGAGTTTTTGAATATGTTTCACACTTATGTATTTGTAAAAAATTCAAATTTTTGAGGTTTTCGAATTTCAACACACAGAAAAGTGATTCGTACAAAATATTTTTGGTCAAGAAGTCGTGTTGGTTTTGTATTTCAGTGATATTTGTCATTGTATCCTTTGTTCTAATGCTATTTGATTTTTGTTCGTCTGTTCCTTTTTTTCTTAGGTTTAGTAGTGTTTCCATCTGTAAAAGCTGGTAACTAGCGACATATATTCCCGTTGTTTGCTTTATGCTTCTATTCTGTCTTCTGCCTTTCCCGCTTACGGTTAATCGCATTATGTATAGCATCAGATCTAACGATTTGAAAGTAAATGCATTCCTTGCTTGCAAACTGAGGCTAATGTGTGAAATTTTTCATTTCAAAATTAAAAATTGCATTGTGCATGAAAAACTTGCACACTAATTCCAAAATGTTTCGTTTGACATTCGGAGGGCATAAGTTACTTTAAAAAAGGGTGTTGAAGAAATTTTCTCTAGTTCTTCGAAAATTCTCCCAAGTTCTTCGGAAACTTTCGAGCTCTTCAAATTGCTTTTTAAAATGATAATTCAAATGTAATAAAAAGGCACTAGATCGATGTGATCACTTTAAGATCCATACGTGGCAATATGGATCCTAAGGCGATCATATGATTTTCATTTATTGAGAACGGAGCGAATATCATGAAACAATGTGATCGAGAAGGCCATATGGTGATCGAAATCGGTGTGAAAATGTGCAGTGACCTTCCCTCTCATGTGGCGACCGAAACGGATACAGGGAAGTGCAGTGACCTTCGCTATCGAGACGGATATAAGGAGATGCAATGACCTTCGCTTTTATATACTACGCATATCTGGATGTTTGTCAATGGCGAGTAGTCCGTTGGAGGAAGGGAGGATTTTTCGATCTCACCCAATCCTTTATTAGCTCTAGTCTCGTTGTCGATATGTGGAAGACTACCGTTGTGTAAGATCGCTAAAATCGGAAATGACTTGGAGTAATCGCATGATCGTTGAACAGGAAAACGTAGAAAAGTGGCTTGGTTTCTCTATGAGCGGCATCCACCCATTCTCGGTGCAAGTTGTAGGCTTAATCCAATTTCAGCTACTATCTCAAACTGTTTTTGTTCAGACGACCACTTGAAGATATCAGGCCCTTACATCTCGCGTCAACCCCCTTGAATCAGCTCCCACCCTACCACTCCCTTTAGCACCAGAATCTTCAATCTTCCATTTCTTGGACAAGGTACAACAAAAGCATGTCTTGTGGAGAAAACTCGCATACTGTATTGTTATCGGGTAGCGCGTGTTGTGAAGTCAGAGATCGTTGGTTACACGGAAACTTCTCAGTACTTTTTTTTTGCGTTGCTCGGAGTTCGCATTGAGACATAATGCGATGGATGTTTACATATGGTTTTTTCCCTATTTTTCAGCTGAATTTGCGATGTATAAAATGAGTTATTAGAAGTCGGTATTGCCACCACAGATCAGATCGATTACAATTGCAATTTTTATCATTCAATAGAAAGTTTATAGGATTAGATACCCATGGAGTATCGGAAACGCTCATTAAGCAAAAATTCTACTGATCCTGACAATGAAGTGCTCCCAAAAACTCGAAATACTAATAATACCAGTTCTTCAAGATGCTCGAAATCTAATGTAAGGGAAGTTGCTATTTTGAGATAATTGAGAGTAACCTCTAAATGAAGCGCTTATTCAAGAGATTATTGCATGTCATTGATGCTTGAGTATTGTAATACATGAAGCCAATTACTTGGAGGCAAAATAGTCTGTAGTAAATTAAGAGAAAAATTGCATCATGTAATTTAGAAGAATGGTGTCGTTGAATCACCAAACGAATTGGCTTTGATAAAACCAGCACCGTATAGTGACGACCCGGAAGTCATTGCGCAACGGGCACATATTGATTATTCGCAGAAAATTACCCTTGAAATGGCAAGAAGTAACAAAGGTAATTGATCAACCCAGTAGAAATTGAATTATAATTAATTTAAATCCAGTTATGATTTCAAATTTGTTCAACAGGATAATTTTAGAAGCGAAGGAAAAAGAGCAAGAAAAGTGTGGAAATCTTTAAACTCCTCTGAGCTCAAATTTGCTTAACGTCCTTTGTCATTATAAAATTTAGTTTTTACTTTAAGTCTCTCTGGACTATGACAGAATTTTTCAGCTGGCCGCCCCGTGCGTATTTATGCTGATGGTGTCTATGATCTCTTCCACTATGGTCACGCAAATCAGCTGCTGCAAGCAAAACGTGCTTTCCCAAATGTATATCTTATTGTTGGAGGTATGGTACATTCTGATTTTTCGAGCTTTCTAATTTTTCTTTTTTATATCTTCAATTTTATCAGGTATTTCAATCTCCTCAGTTTTTTTATTGCTATTCAGTATGTGGCGATGCAGACACTCTCAAATACAAAGGTCGTACAGTGACATCGGAAAATGAGAGATATGAAGGTGTACGCCATTGCCGTTATGTTGATGAAGTCTATAGGAATGCTCCATGGTTTTGCACTGTGGAGTTTTTAAAAAACCTGAAGGTAAACAGACTTTACTTTAACTTTGTTTGTCCTTGAAATCGTAGCGTTTTGGATACTGGTACTTTCTAAAGTTTCATATTTTTTGGAGGATAGGCATATTAAAAAAATTTCTGATACTTCGAACACTTTTTATAGGAAATCTATCGAATATAGTATGTTTTCGTATTCTACAATTTCATTTTTCAAAGGTACACTTAACTTTTTAAGGTGTGTGGATAATAATTTGTCTATTTTGCTTACTAAACAGTCACTTTTTTCCGTAACTTGTGTAAATTAGTAGGTACTTTTGCTCGTTTTTTATCCTATACTCATTCTACTTCATTAGTTGATCAAACTCCTTAAATAATTTCTTATATTTTAGGTTGACTTTATAGCGCATGACGCATTACCATATGCTATGCCTGGGGATTCAGATCTTTACGAGAAATTTCGACGAGAAGGGATGTTTGTCGAAACACAACGGACGGAAGGCGTTTCGACTAGTGATGTTGTATGCCGAATAATCCGTGATTACGATAATTATGTGCGCCGTAATTTGCAGCGTGGTTATTCTGCTAAGGATCTAAACGTTGGATTTCTTGCTGTAAGTTTCGGTAACTATGCCATATATAATAAATATTGCTCTGAAACACTTATATTTTTTGTGGTTTATTTCTAATTTTTATTAGTTACATGGATAGGCGTTGCAGGCGAGGCGTTATCAGTTGCAGAATCAGGTTGATCAATTGAAGCAAAAAAGCTTGGAAGTTATAAAGACATGGCGTAACAAAAAAGATGATTTTATTCGTGGTTTTTTGGAAACATTGCAAAAAGATGGCGGATTCGGTTTTAATGTGTGTTTGCTTTCTTTTTTAGTATAGCAGATAACTAACTAGGATAAGAAAAGCATTTAAAAAAGATTGTTGCGCTAAATTTGCACAAAAGACGAAGTAACGAAATCATACATTCGTTTTTCAGAATGGATGGCTTTAACTGTTCAGATTTATGAAATTGAGACAGAATTGTTTTGGGTCGGGTAGAAGCATCCAAGAAGAAACAGATCTATTTATCAGCATTCTGCTATTAATTACAAAATTTTGTTTTTCTTATAAATTCCCATATAATGAGGTATTTAAATTTGATTAGTGCCTGTTGAAGATAATTATTCATATTCGAATCACTACGAAATCCATAACGCAAATGTTTATCGTAAGTGGGGCTCATTTCCAACTTGTATTCTTTTTGATAATTTGCAGATTGTTGGCAGTAGATTGAGAACGCTTGTGTCACGTAGCCCTTCTCCGTTAGAATATGAGGAGCAAGCGGAAGAGGATACTGTGGATGCAAGCTCTTGCTGTGAAACATCTTCAACAGCTAGTTTCGCAAGTGCAAAGAACGAAGCATACTAATGGGATTATTCACATTCTCAATATTTATTCATCTGCAAAGTGCCATTTTTTTCGTCCCAGGCTTTATATTTTTTATTTTTCATGTTATTGCCTTATTAATTGTTCTACCTATGTTTATTCCTTTCACAAAACTATTAGTAAGGTATTCTTTTCGTTACGTATTTTACGTGAAGAATTCGAAGAACTCTGTTTAGACAAATGCGAAGACAATGACAGCTTCACTGAATTTGGAGAAATGGAATCTTGATACCTGAAAAAAAGAAAAAAAACAATTACTGAAAGTATTTTATAATTCGTATTAATATAATTACTGGGCTTAAAATTTAAAATTGTTTTATCTCCGGTAGGTAGTTTCTCGTATTTCTCAAATATTTAAACTGCCTACACCTGTTTTGCTGAACCAAAATAAGTCTGAACTCAGATCTTTCCATGCAAGCAGATAATTTTATAATAACTGCTGCATTGGGAAAAATTATGCATCTTTAAAAGGTACCGAAAATGAAAATTTGAAAGCGCATCATTTATCCACTGTTTTTTATTTCTGAGAAAGCTCGTTTATTTTCGCTTTTCTACTGCGTTAGAATTAAAACTGTTATTCTGACACATACATCATCACTTTGTAATTCAGGGAACTAAAGTCCTATCGCTTTCGAGGTATTAAATTTATTACTTATAAGTTTGTTATTTTTGGAATTCGAAATTGATCGTTAAACAAGGGCAAATTCTAATTATTAAACTAGTCGACTGTCAATTATTTTTAAAAGAGGCGTATGTGACATTTTCTGCTTTTCACTCGTATTTCATATTATCTCTGCCGATTCAATTCATAGGCAATATCTTAGTCACATTTTATAAGTTTGTATAAATTGTAAGCACAAAAATATAATTGTATTTATACTTTTTCTCCGGTATTTCTCATGTCATTATCGATTTCCCTCATCAGAAATGACTGATGTCACAATGTAATATTTCTTTTTTAATTTTGTCCCCATATATTTTAAATATTCATTTATTTCTAAATGTCCGCATGGTATTTAATTTCTTAAACTTCTGGGATTTGTTATTGTATTAGTTTTCGCCTTCCATTTGTGCTGGAAACCATTCATTTGTGGTGGAAGAGTAGTTTTTTTTTTCATAAATTTCGAATGATGTTTCATGATTCCAAAATTCTGGTTTGACAGGAGAACACTTTGTTATGTTATAAAGGCATGTCGCGGCGAATCAGCTATCTGTCAAGTACGCAAAATTCCTTTTCAGGATTTGGGAAGAAAAATCTGCACTGGGCAGTAAGTTTGAGCATCTCTTTGATTGTATTATTATGAAATCATTTGTTTGTTGGGTGACATTCCACGTATTTCTTCATATCTTTTCCACTGGTCTTTCCCCTCGCGAGATTTTTTTGATGTCAATAATATGATTTTTTCTTAATTTCAGAAAATTGTCATTGGTAAGTTTTGGAAAATTTTTTGATTAAGATTAACCTCCAGTATTTTTTCCGTTGATCTGCTTTTAGCTAGAGTAGAATGTATATGTATAAGGGACTTAAATTATTTTTGGGTGTGTAATTCATTCTGTAAGACAATAAGTACAATATAGTATTTTAGTATTTTAAGATATATTTTAAGAATAATATTTCAAAATATATTAAAAATCACTTCTGAGGAAATTAATTTACATTAGGAACACAAGCTGTGACATTCGATTTATTGTTATTTCCCTTATGTTTATTCGGCTTGTATTTTGCATATGCAATTTCATAACAAACTGGTTTTTCTAATTTGTTATGAAAAAGTTAATAAAAATTTCATACTATTAATGTTACTTGCATTTTCTGCCGATAACTTTCAGGCCTTTAGCCGTGAATACTTTTGCAGTTATTGTGAAGGTTTTTTCGAAATGTGGTCCACTGTTAAGTCAAAATTCAAATTCTAGATTTGGAATTGAGATTTCATTGTTGCCGTTCTTCTGCATGATGTATGAGGCTTCTTCATAATTTTCATATTGCAAATACCGGACATGCAATAGAAATTCAAAAATTGCATTCTTGATATGTAGAAAAAGGATAGTGGTTAGCTAGCATTACTTCAATCGCCAAACGTATTACGTGATGCTCGTTGGGTTGCATTTGCTGTTTTACTTTTATGTATTTTCCGTTCTTAATATCTGATTGAGTTGTAAGATCGCTTGAATCGTACGTAATATCAGTTATAGGATGTATTCTCTTGTTGACCGTGAATAATTCATTTAAGACAACTACTTTTTATCCTTGTTCCTTCTTTAAAATGAATTCGAATAATCATTGTAGTACGAGTTTTTCTGGAGGAGGGCTTATGAGGTTATTCTCTTCGAAAGACTATTCTGTGGTGCACTATTGCATTTTTTTAAAGACTCCTATGGTGAAATAAATGTCATTGATTCGTGGCTAAGTGGTTGAATATTTTCTAATCGATTTTTATGCACTTTATAACATTTTGAAATTGAAAGTTTTGAAGGAAGTTGGTGGTTACTATAGAATGAAAAATGATTCTTCGAAGTTGGCGTCAGATGCGGCATCGTCTGGAAAAGAGAAAATTCGGCGGAAAATGCCGCTGAAAGTAAGCGGTTCTTTGTTACTGTCCGAGTAGTTTCGAGAAGCAATTTTTTGAATAAATTCGAGATATACAGGAAAGTACGGTAAAGCAATGATAAAGAACTGATAATTTTTGCACGAGTGATTAAACAAGCTTTCCGGGAATAAAATCGGTCAGTTATCAATGATCTTTTCCTTAAGTTTCAATATTGAATATTGACTTTTCAGATTGTTTTACGTCGATTGCCAGCAGCGATGACGTGGGAGCAGTTAGAAACTCAGCTGAGTCCAATTCCGGAATTCGAGTTTTCTGAATTTATAGCTGCTAAATCAAGGTCCATTCTTATGTAGCATTAGTTCAATGTTGCTTTTAATATTTTCTTTAGTTTTTGCACAAAAAATTTTAGTAGGGTTATATCGTTGAGTCTTCGATGTATGATTTTGCATTTATTTAATGGAACAATACTGTTTGAAGATAAAATTTGTCCATGGAAATTGCTTGAATTTGTCTAACATAAATTACACAGGTTTTTGTCGAACTGAGAAATCTCTATTAATTCATATTCATAATTTTTTCTTCCTTATTATCGAATTTTTTTCTGGAAAATCCCTTTACTATTTCATTTTCATCATGCTCCGCAATTTTTTCAGCGAAGGAATATCGTTTTCGAGAGTATATTTCGTTTTCAAGAAGGATTATGATACTGTCGCGTTCAAGGAGCGTTTTCATGGATATGTTTTTGTTGATGATAAGGGTAATAAATTCTTCCATATATTTGTTCAAAACTAAATTTTCAGATTGAAGATCAAGTAGTTGTAATTAGCTTTTATGGTAACTACTTTCATCCCATGCAAATTGTCTTGGTTATATTGAAATGTTTTTTAATTGTCTTGGTTATATTGAAATGTTTTTTGTTATTGTTGATAACAAATAGTGAGCGTATTTTACTCATTAAACAGTAGTGGTGAGCATATTACTCATTATTCATTAAACAGTAGCATATTACTTTTTACTTTAAATAATTTAGGTTTAGTATCCTTCTGAACATGTTCACTAAATCAAATAACAAAAAAACAATAGGCTAACACATTTGAACTCTGTTTTCTCAGAAATGAAGGCTTTATCAAAAATTCAGTATATTTCGATGTTAATCACATCTTGCATTTTAGGAGGGGAATCTGTTGGTATTGTTGAGCTTGCACCGAATCCAAGAGTGCCACACGACAAATTAGAAACTGCCAAGGAACGTGATTTCAAATGCGGCACAATAGAAACAGGTTTTTTTCAAATATATTCATTATTCCTATGATTCATTTTGGTGTCTGTACAGAGTATCGTCAAATTTTTATCCAAAGTAATTTAGATCATGAATATAAAAAATTCTTGAGCGAAAGAGAAAATCCTCAAAAACCAGATCTAGTATCAATGGAACAACTGATCAAAGAAATCGATGAAAAGGAGAAAATGATTGAAAGTAGGTTTCTTTATTGATTTTCGTGTTAATTGGAAATCAAAATTTAATGAGAAAGCTAATATCCGGAATTAATTTTATGTATCAAGAAAGGACAAAAAAGAAAGAAAACTAAATAGGTAGAAGAAAACTGAATGGATAATATAATGTTAAAAGAAATAAAGATAAATATAATCAATATAACTCTACTAAAATTTTTTTAAACAGGATGAAGATTAAAAAAGTTTTGGTGGAGTCATGTTGCCGTTAGCTTTAATCTCTGATCTGGAATGTGGTGATGTTGATTTTATACTGCAATCTGCTTTCTTTTCTTGAAAAGATCTAAGAGATGAGATAATAGTACTCCTGACTGAAACTGATAATATTGTCATCAATTTCGACATCAATATATAGAAAGACAACAATCTCTTTGGGTTGAATTGAAAGTGATAAGATGAGAACGGTTTTATGATTTTTAGAACCATCCAATACATAATTTCAGAGAATGCTGTGCAGGAAACACCGCTAACGCAGTATATGATCAGGAAAAGTATCAGACGCATTGAGGTTGTTTCTCTCTTACGATAGCTTTTTTCTCTTATCCAAGAAAGTAAATTGATGGTGATATTTTTCTCTTTCTCAGCTACGCGATAAAAATACATGATTTGTAATTACATCACAAGCGAGTAATGCTCTGTAGTCGTCGAAGACCTTCATCACTCTTGGTGGATTTGTCTAGTAGCTTTTTCATACTTGATTTTCAATATCAAAAATTTCTTGCGTCTCTTTTTTCGTGGTTTCTAAAATTCGAGTAATCTTTTGCATATGAATTTTATCTTCTAATTTGATAAATAAAAATTTGAATTGACATTTTGAACTCTCATTGTAGGAAAAACGACGTGCTCGTGAAGAGGAGAAGCGTGAGCGGTTAGAGCGTCGTTATGAAAGTGAATTGAAAGATAAACAGGAACGGCAAGAAGTAAAGAAAATGACTGAGTTTCGTAACTCGAGATTTGAACGAAGCCATGAAAGTTCAATAAAGGAAAAAGAAAGGTTGTTAATTATACAATTTCAATACAATTTATGCAATTTATATGTGCTTCATTTTCAGCTTGAAATGCATCTAATATTAATACTTTAGATGGAATGGTTGTTGTAACATTTCAGATGCTACTCTCATATCCTGTCATAAATTTGAGATCGAAGATATTGAGCGAAAAAAAGTTTACAGTGTAATTCATTTGAACATTATTATTCATTAGGAGATCATTAAGATGGAATTTTCACAGGACAAAAACTCGTACCTACCGATCCGGTGATTATAGTCGTAATGGTACGATGGAAAAAAGCAGTAAGTGGTCTGATGCTAAGGACCGCGACAAATGTATTCAGTCATCGAAGAAAGGACGTGATGCATCAGGTATTTATTTTATAATGTGGGTATTAGTGTACGTAATATGAATGTGAATAGCTGCAAAATATAGGACGAAATTAAAGTTTGTATTGCAGCTGGCAAAGAGTTTTTTTCGAAGAAAACGAAACAAAATGATGAAAATCAAAGTTTTAAAACTGAAAAAATTGAAGAATTGGAAAAAGAGAAGATAAGAAAGGATGATGAAACTGCCTGCAAGAAATCTATTTCATCAGAAGACACTACTGGGCCAATATCGTGGGTTAAAGTTTTGATTTTTTCTTCTATTTATCTCGTGTACTTGCACAAGGATTACAATGTAGGATGAAGCATAGAAATGAAATCGTTGGAACTTGCTAGCATGATTAATAAGAGACCGATGCATTTCAAAATATGGTACCATCTGACGGGTCAGATGCAACTAGAGCTCAGCGGTCGCCATGGAAGGAGACGTCTTGAGTCATCGGTGGTATAAGTCAAAAATGAAAACAGTGATCGTAAACGATGCATGAAATAAACGGTGCATCAAATTTCAAGTTATTAATACATCCAAATTGTTTATAGTGGACGAAATCTTGAGCGATTTGCAAATGTTTGAAAGCGCAAAGCCCTGTAATATTTTTTATCCTACTATGGGAAGTGGGATGGCGAAGTGACTTGCGGACATGCATGCTTGGAATGCGCTTGATGTTATATCAACTTTTCTTAATTTCCTGGCAAAATTTTGTGGCGAATGATTGCAATGAGCATTTCTAGATCGGACAAACCGAATAGTAAAATCACAAAGGTGGTAAATCGAATGCTAACGCAGAAAATCATAGCAGCCGAGAAAGATGAAAAAAATTTACACAATGGAAAGAAGGAAGAAAAGACTGAAAATGGTTTTACGAAGCCTCGTCGTAATAAGGTAAGCAGTAACAAAGTGCCTAGCTATTAGGATTTCACTACTTTCTGGGAGAATTTATGATTTTCCTATCGTGTGGTGTGGAGTCATACAAAAATGATATATCGATTTCCATTACTTTTTGTTTGTTACGAAATTAGAGAACTAAATCTTTTTATTACATATAGAAGGCGTTACCAACTTGACAGTTATTCCTATTTCATGCACTTAATTTTTGAATTTCTGGGATTTAATGTTATAATATGGTAGTTAGTTGTATTTCTTGAAGTATCAACACACTCAAATTCAACGCTAATTCATAGCATCCAGTTCAAGAAAATTCACTATATCTTTATTTTCCTTTGTCAAATTATAATTTTCAGTAGTACAGAAATAAATTCGCAACATTAAGTTAGAAAAAAACAAAAGAGAGTTAAAAAACCCGAACAATGAATTTTGAAAACGAAATCCAGAGAATAAAGCCAGTCGTCCAAACTTTTTAGAATAAAAGCCCTTGATAGAAATTTCTTTGATTATTAAGATTTTCTACTCAAGTATTGGAACCGATGCGTAGCTTTCTGTCCCAAGAGTATTGAAGTTGAAGAAAAAAATGTTGGTTTTGGGTGTACATTCTTGACAATCTTCGCAAACTCTTTGATTTTATACCGTTTAAGCATATTGTGAACAAATTTTTCATACAGATTACTATTTTCTTCTTTGTTTTTCTGTTTTAATTTAAACGGTAAAGAAATCATTTTCATCGCTTTTTATCTTTATTTTTGCTGTGTTAATATATATTTGCAAAACAACCTGACTTTAGGACCGACCAGAGCGTGCAATATATCAACCTTCTGCCGTTAGACGCCGAACTGTGACTGCAGTTACATCTGGTTTAAATGCTATGGAAAAAGTCGCATCAGCTTCTAAAGAAAAACCTTAAGTGTGTAAGTTAGGTAAGTTTCAAATCAGAACAGTTCCATTTGAATACTCGACGAGCTAAACACACAAAAAGATAGTATGTCAAAATATTTCTGCGGATCTATAGATCATTTAAATGGGATCCAAAAGCAGAATTCTCGGGAAATGAGAAAGAAGGGCTATTTTTCGTTAGAGGATGATCGATCAAAATATGAAAATGGTTGTATGAAAGAACTATATAGATTTTACAGATTTGAGGATTTTACCGATTTGCTTTGAAGGTTTGATACCATCCAGCTAGACTGTGTTTTACATATTCCACCATTTATATAGTTCTTCCTCCTTTTGGTATCGTTATTTAGTATTCCATTGTTACTCTCGATTATTTGTTTTTCCTACATAATGGAACAGGAATAGTGTTGTTGGAATAGTGGAATAGCATCACAGGCATTTGCTAATCTTTGATTTAAATAAGTGTTAATGGTATTATTTTGATGCATATTGTTATAAGTAATGCGTCCAGCATAATCGTAATTTGTTCATTCTTATCCTTCAGTATTTATTAATTGCACTTTGAGGTGGTATATTGGCAAGGAAATACTGGAAGAATTGCATATCTGAATAGTGGTTAATTCCCTGTGTGTAGCACTGGCAGCAACAGCAGCAACGATAATTCTTAACAGTTTGCCAACTAAAAAGTGTACGAATTGTGGTTCAACAACTATTTTGGCCAGAAGAGATGCGAACTTGGCCAATTTTGTGAATACCGGTATCAGTAAGACTGAAAAGTATTCTTCCTTCATCAGTTTCAATTACTTAGTTGATTGAGACGAGTTCCAGCGGAAGTCTTTTTTTGGTTCTTTTATAAGCGATACTATGTGGTATATGCTCCCATACATATATATATATATATTGGAGTATAAGCATGTGTTTTTCATTAGCAATGGTTTTTGATGAAATTGTTGTTTTTGAAGTGCTGACATCCAACCATATTTTTATTGTAATGCGCCGTAGTGAACATCTACTTTGCGGCACTGACATTTACTTTGCAAACCTTACTTTAGGTTATTCCTTGGTATAAATATATAGGGACATTGAAATTCCCTAATAAGAAATCAGAATTTTATGTTCCACAAATTTCCGTTAAATTAGAGCATTGTTAATTCCCCAAGTATACAACTTGAAGGAGGAAGGAAGCTCGGGTCAAGAACTGATTTTAAGAACCTTGCTCTCTTTAACTTTCGCATTGAAATATATAAATTTTTCCAACGAAAGTTCGAACTAATACCTTTTTTCCAAAGATTTATCATGATTACAAAATTTTAGAGTTGTAGTAATATATGTGGTCTTTTTTGATTAGTGGGTATTGGACCTTCATTTTTATGAATATAGGAAATTATGAGGAGCAATTAAGAGATCATTCAATTGAATGAAATCATCACAGATCACTTCTAGACCTTAATTTTTGTGAGATTTTTTATATTTTACGAAGCTTTGGAAGTTTGTTTATAAGTGAAGACTTAGGTTAGTAAACAAGGAGAATTCTTTCAAATTTCGCCCTCGATTTCAAAACGATTTGCACTTTTATATTTTTCGTTTTCTCCGTGAGTTGAAATTGTTCGCCATCATACATTTTCCCACAATTGCCTAAAATCCTGTGAGGAAACAAATATTTTTTTTAAGAAGCAGAAAGATGTTGAAATTTCGCATTGAACTTCTACCAAAATTAATAATATTCCACATATATTAATCAACTTGTATTCACATTTCTATCCATTATATCATCATAAACACTGATATGGATATCAAAATTATCCGTTATTTCGCTTTTCCTATAAGCAGTAAACACGAGTAATAAAATTCGTAATAATAATGATTTTGAACTATAATTTTGAAAGCAATATGCATAAAATATTTGACCAGTTAAAATCTAAGATGTCAGAAATTCCGCCAGATGAAAGATACGGTTCATTAGAAAAGCTAGTTGGTCCAGATTTAAAATGTCAAAAGTTCAGAGCGAACAATAAATAAGTAGTTTCATAGTTCTGTTTACAGCTAATATTTAGTTGAAAATGAATGTTTAATTTTTATAATTTGAATTAACAGACAGCGTTAACAACTATGAAATATAGCACAGTAATAATGAAAGTAGGCATTAACAGTGGTAGTGCAATTAATACCATCAATAAAAGCTATTAATACCATCAATACCATCAATGTAAGAATAATCAATAAAAACTATTTATAAACGAAAGCCATCAAAAAGTTGAATAATATAAACCTTTCAAGGTTAGAATGAAAGAGTTAAATATTACTTCCGAATTAATAATGTGTTTGTTTCAAAGTTTTGGCAGTTCGACTTCTGATTTTAATTGCTTAAGTTCAATTCTTTATCATAAATTTGAATATACCCTAGTTTTCAAGCTGTCGAGATTTAAGATTTTTCTAATTCAATTGCAAAGTACCAAAAATCAAATCGCGTTCTGACATTTGCCATTTCAGTTAGACATGTTCACAAGAATAAGGAACCTGAGAATTTCTCATTGGAGTACTATAAAATTCTGCTATTCTCTTAATAATTAGATGCTACAGTGGTATTCTTTGTAACTCGGAATGTGCTGTCTGCATCAATTTAATATTTTCCAAACATTCACCTTCGGCTACTTCCAATTGTTGCCCTTGATCAGCAATGATTTCTACATTGCCCTGAAAAGATAATCGAAGGGTTGACTGTTTGCTGAGAGTCACAATTTTTTTTTAATTACAAAACGAAATAAAACTAATGACAAATAAAGTCTCGACTTGTTTACTGTGATTCTCTGTTTTCCTAAAATTAGACTTTAAAAATATAGATTTTCAAAATTAAGGAAAAACCAAAAAGTATTTCGTTGCTTTAAAAACGTTAAGAAAAAACGAGCTATTCAGGACCAGCACCTCCTGAAAGAGAATCACAACACCCCGACTATCAACGAATCGGATCACCTAGCCTTCCAGACAACATGTGAAACAAAAAACAGTTCGGTTGCATAATCCAATCCTGCTATTTCTGTACCCCATTACGCTGTCCGAATGACATTTACAATAGCTGTTTTCAAAAGCAAATTTTGAAAAAAAGTGGCAGATAAGATGAAACCATTCGATGTATAATCGATTTAATATCCACACTGCTACGCTTTCATCTTATATATTAAATCTGCATTAGCAAACGATTAAAGACTTACTTTCAGCTCCACATGATGTCCAAAATATATATCGCCCTCAACCTTCAGCCGTTTTAACTCTCGTAATCGCGGAATCCCACGAAAACGTTTTCGAAATTCGGAGACCTTGCTGAAATGTTTTGACAGCTCGATGATCGGTAGTGCTTTGTCCTTTCTGACAAACTGCAGCGAAAGGTTTTCCGTAACTTCATATAAATCACTCATAATGGCAAGTAGATCCTGAGTATTCTTAACAGGAAGAAAGCGAGTGCGGGGCACTTGAATACCTGAGAAAGTTTTTGATTTATTATATGGAAGCAAAATTTCACTCCATCAACTTGTATTAAATTAAGTTTATCGGTCTAAGCGTAATAAACTATATAAGCTGTTTCAGGTGACACTATTTGTACATGAAGATAATGTGATCAAATATGAACACTAAAAGGTTACATTCGTTCAAGAAGGTCAGAAGATCAAAGAAGAGTAGCATACCATATTTTGTAATGGACGCAAAACGAGATTCAGAAGAAAACAATGATCTAGTACTAGATAAGGCACTACTATTACAGATAATTCCAGTTACAGTAAAAAATTGCATATACATACTCAACACATTGTCGAAATTTCGAATGGCACCACCCACTGATGTTTCCAGTTGATTGACAAACTCACCGTTACTGAGAACCTGCAAAAGCCATAAGCTTAAATATGAAAATATTTTAGCTGACGATATAAGAAAACAGCTTACATTAATTTTAATCATATGGATAACTCGGTCAATTGCATACCTTTCTTGATGATGTACAGCTAATACCTTAAAGAGATATGCAAGTATCACTGATACATTCCATATACATAAATTACCACTAACTCATTAATAAGATGCTGTTTGGCCTTCTCGACCTAACTAGTCAACGAGTGACAATTTTCCAATTATCTAGAAGTCTCCGTAAAAATATATTTCATAGCGTTTCAACTATACCTAATCAATGATAACTCCACCATAAGAATAAGGTGGGTAACGTTTTACGAGATTTTGACTCATAATTCACTACTATCCTCGAAAATAAATCTGCCTAGGGTTCCCGGAATCCAAGCAATGTCGAGCGGCTGTGGAAGAATAAATATATGAAATGAATTATCTGTACGAACATTTAACAAGAATTCATAAAGAAAAAGTATCGGAATCATTAGAATTCCAAAATCATGAAAAAGAACTAGGAAAAAAATTTCGGAAACCTTTTTGTTGACAATAATTTCCATCTTCATTTCAGCGAGTTTCTTTTTTACAGCTCGTAGATTGACCCAAATATTGTTGGTGTTGAAAATTCTGATATTTTTGGAAATTTCGCTTTCAAAATTTTGAGAGAAAATTTAAGAAAGGATGCAATTCCATATTTGAAGAAAATGAAACGGAGTGAGTAAAACAACGTGAAAAAAGTAAGAAACTAATTAAAATCACTGTAATAATGGATTGATTATATCGAAAATCTTATATGCATATGTAAAGCATCTACTTGAAAATGTCCGTTGAACAGAAATCATCGATACGATCATTGGGCACTTGTGGCATCTCTAAATGCATAATGTATCCATTTATCTCAACCAATGTACCTCCCTAAATAAGAAAGTTAATTAATATGTTAATCGCTACATATTGCTAAAAACTGCAAAATCCGCAAAAAATTAATTACTATTTAACGTGAAATAATTACTATTTAACGTCTTCGTTTAAAGCAGAAAGATTCTGAAAGTTCAACAAAAAAATAAACTTTTTTGTCGACTTCCGTTTTTTCCGTGCATTCCATTACGTATTCCAAATCACTTTCTACCATTAATTTAGCAATTCGCAAATCAATTGTTGCACCAGTATTATCAATATTTGAGATGAAACATATGTCGCGTCTCTGAGCAAGCAACTCATCCAAAACACCAGTAAAATGCATTGATTTGAAAATATTTCCATGACCTGGTGGATACCACCTGAAAATATCAAGTTATAGAAGAATTGGTTAATTGTATTTAACAAAATCCATCAAATGACTTCTAGTCTAAGTTTTCGATCTATAATGAATTCTCATGAGGAACAATGTTTCAATGTGAATAATTCAAAAAGCCCATAAACGAAAAAAAAAAATGTCATTTTGGTTCTTCATAATTGATTTGCTTGTTCTTTCTCTTACAAAGTAATTTTATATTTGATCATTTCCAACTTCTTACCTCGTTTACATATTGTTCCCTAATAAATTTTTATTAATTCACTCTATCCAAAGTAAAATTCTAAGAATGCAAAAACCATTAAATGACTGACATAATTCAGATTTTTTAATGGCAGACACAAATGATGGTCTGAAAGATACATTATAATGTTATCAAAATATGGAAAGAAAACTAGAACCTTAATACTACCATTCATTTCCAATAATAGGAAGCATTTGTAGATGAACAAGAAGTATTAGTAGGACAATCCCTTACCCTTCAATGTTTTCACCTCCATTCTTCAAGGGAACAGGTATTGAAGTTTTCACAAAGATCCTTGGACATTTACTCTGCAGGAATGTTCTTACATTTACCTTGCAATTAGCCATATATTCGCCGATTGCTTTTTCAGTATTGAAACTATTCATTAAAACTAATGGCACAGAACTGTTGTTCTGCTCATTAAAACGCTGCAAGAAATTGAACTGAATAAGAGTTTCCTTTAAAGTAATAAGGTTCCAAAAAATGGGAGAGTTAATGTTTCAAAAGTTGGATTTCATTTGTAAAGAAATTTAAAGAAAATCTAAATTTAGAAATTGTACTCATAATTGCATCGAATTCTTTGATTGCAATTATAAGCTTTAAAAATATTTCTGTCAAGTTATCTTTACATAAAATTATATGATTTAATAGGTGTCTTTCATAAAAGTTTCGTTATCGTTTCTGATTTGCTTTTGTGTAATTGAAATGATACCTGTACATGACCGGTGGCAAAATCGAGAAATGTGAGCCCTTTGCGCAATTCGATTAGTGACTTAGGACCATCACAGCCCATTGTTGTTCCCAAGCCTCCATTTAGCTTTACCACTGACAGATGTTTCAAAATCTCGTCTCGTTCTTCTTTTCCAGAACAGTGCGGCAATGATTCGTAATCTTTTTGAAATTTTAAACTTAATGGCTTCATCCTACTCCAATCGATAGTACTGGATTCACTGAGATATTGTTCAAATAAGGATAAGAATATTTCTGCATCAAACTGAGTACGCTGTAAATAAAAATGTGAAAACTTCATAAAATGGAGCAAAATTAAAGATTAGTTGGAAGATTGAAATGTAAACAACGTACTTCATTGTCAACAAAAGCCTGCTTGAACTGTTCGCCAATATTTTTGAACAATTTTTGAGCTTCATCACTCCAGCACTGATTCATTTGTCGAGAAAATATTAAATATTATATACTACAAAACATTAAATGGCAACTTCAAAAAAAACTCGAAGAAAAGCAGACAAAATATGGACAAAAGTTTGACAGGATAGTTTCAGAAAAGAGATAGAGGGGAAAGGAGAGTGTGTAAGGAACATTGAATACACTACACTGATCGTCGCACCATCCTCCCGATTTTTTCCTTCTAGAAATTTCCTTTGCCCTTCCCTCTATGTCGAATTCATTAACCTTTTTCGGAGGCACGTGGGAATTTCCTTATTAACAATCCTTTCCAAGTGAATTTACAAGAGCGGCGTAGGAATAATCTATAATAAATCGTGAAGAATGTGCACGACTGAAATTCTCAAGGCTTTCAACGATTCACAAAATATTCATCATTCCGGCATTTGAATGTCTTTACACCTAACATCTGAAAAAGTATGTGCACATGTGCCATGAATATACTTGAGAAAACTGAGAAATGTAGCCAGAAGTACTTCATTAGCTCGATAATCATAAAATTATGTGCCTGGAGTAAGGGGAAGGATATATCTTCAACCAGGGTTACCCATTACTAAAGCCAAGCACAACACAGTCAGTATGCTCAACCAAAATTGTAAAAATAACTTTTTTTGAGAGTATTTTGTAATCAGAAGCAATTATTATCAAATCTTTCAACATCATCATCAACAAGGAACATAGCATGACAAATCACCAACAAGGAACATTTAGTTAAGAAATAATCTATCATAACCAATTAGATGATTATAGCAGATAACAAAAAAATAAAATTAAACAGCTCGATTATATTTCGAGCTCAACCCAACAACAGATTGTTTTTTGAAAATTTATGTAAAATTTTTACCAATCGAAAAGATAAGGCCATTCGTTTTCTTCCTAGATCTACATTAATACATCACAACATACAACATACAAAAACTTTCCACCAAGTTATCTAATAAAATAACGTAGGCTGACAAAACATTTCAAAGAACAAATTTAAAAGCCAGAAACAGTATTTTCTAAACGCTTCTAAACGCTTCTAAAATAAATTCAAGATGCCTATAGCCACAGTCTTGAATGGGACCAATAATAGAAACAACTAAATGTTGCTATTCTATTTTATACGGATGAATCACCGAATGGAATCTTTTATCGCGAAACATATTGAGTACCGTCTTCTTTGAATCAAGCAGCTCTTTGGCCCATTCGAGATTAATTATCGTGATATCACTAAATAAAAACGTGAATTGTTGCCAGAATAAGGAACTTGTAAAGAATATTAAAAACTTTTTTCAGAAAAATGTAAAAAAGGCAAAATGAAAACAATGAATTAAGGAACCAAATGTTTTAAAGAAAAATAGACACAAGACAACTTAGCACTATTTCAGCAACAATTTCCATTAGGCCACGAGAAGCAAACAGGAAACTTACCGAGCGTACAATTCATTTGTTCGAACGAGATCTGAGAAAATGAAGGCCGTTGGCCTCGAACGAGACAAACAAGAGGAAGGATGGATTTTTAATGAGGTTTCAGGTGATATCAACAAATTGTAACGGTCGTGTGATCTCTCATAAACACAAGCATTCATAAAAAGACCCTGACAAAGCGTCTTCCTGAAAAAAATGGCATTATTTAGCAAAACCATGCTTGATTGAATTATCTACCTTATTCAGCTTTTTCTTTTCTTCCACTGTTCGCAAACCCCTTTCATTTGGTGTAATTTATATTCTTAGAACTTCTGCTTCATTTATCTTTCCCTTTCCTTCCCTTCTAAAAATAAGTTTTCTCATCCATGTAATTAACTAATGTATTTTACGGCTATTTCAAACCCAAGTATCACCTGAGTTTGTCAGTATCAGTGCCGCACGAACGAAAAATCAATGAGTTTTTTGAACAAATATCACGCAGCTGTCTTCGAATTTTAAAAACAGTATTAAGTAATCGCTGATGGACATGATTTGCTTCGCACCATTCCTTAACAAATATTTAATAAAAACATCATTGGGAAGACAACAAAAAGCAGCAAAGCAATATCAAGTACCGTTTCCGTTAAGAATAGAGAATGTGAATAAACTTCATTCTAAATCTTAGAGGGCGTGAAGTACATTTAAAATATTATAAATATTAAATGCTAAGTTCAACAGAAAAATTGCATGATTTAAAAAGTGTACTTAAATTATGAAAAAATATAAAACGTTAAAGTAAAGAAATAAAACGAGAAGGTTAAAAAACGCAGCAAAGATCCGAGGTTAAAAATAAGGTAACTAAAAGAGAGAAACTGCACAAATATTTGAATTACCTCTAGTTTCTTTTCTTTTCGAGCTAAACGATATCCGCGATAAACATTCAGTAGGGTGCAGTGATCACCTTCGGGTGCTTCAAATTTACGTTTCGATAAGTTTGTTTGTTCACGACTCATTGCTGAACTGATGAAAACGGAATCAGTGGACATAAATGCCACGATTGTTAAAACTTCTTCTAAACACTCATTCTGTGAAGCTGCCAACAGAGCACTGCAATTCAGTAACGCCAATTTTTGAAACATGAGAAAAAATAAAACAATATTGAATTTCGAAAAGGATTATTAAATTTTTAAAATTCAAAATAATTACCAATGATTAAATGACTTACCGTGCAAAAGCTGGATCAATCGGAAATGATGATAATCTTGTGCCCATTTCAGTAAGTCGTAATCTACCTTTTTTATCAGGTTGCTTCACTGCATCCAGTAAGCGAAGATGTTTTTCAGCAGCTTCCAGTCTTTCTTTTTTTGGATTTGAAATCAAAGCCAATGATTTTATTCGTCGTAGACCAATACGCAATAGCTCCAGCAGTATCTCGAATGAACAAGTTGGTGCAACAATAATTACATTGAAGAACAATTTCTAATGAAGAAGGGAAATATAATTCCTCTTGAAATAACTGGATTTAGATATTTAAGTTTTTAATCCTTTTATCATTTCAGGTACTGATCGAATTATTCCCCATTGACTTGGAGCATTTGGCTATGAAAAATGACTTGATTCAATTGTAAAAATAAATACTTTTGACAGCAAAAATTGCTTGAAGTTCTGGGAATAAATTTTACCACTGCTAAATTGGACCGCAAAATTTCCGGAACTGTCATTTTGGAGAGTGAATGAAAATGTTTTTCCGAATACAGCCGATAACATTTTCCCGGTGCTTCACGTCCAGCACGACCAGCTCGTTGGGTTGCTGAACATTGTGAAATATTTTCCACACGAAGAATATCGATATGACGATCCGGAAGAAAGGTTCTAAATAAATACAACAAATCTTTTAAAAAATTCTACCTTGAATGGATCCCAAAAATAAATAAAGGAGCTATTTAAGTGTGAATCAGAGAATTCGCAAAGTTTCGAAGAATTAAAAGAATATTATTATGAATTTATTTTGAAGTATGAATTCGTTTAAAATAAATATTTTACTGTTTAATGATATCTTTTTCTCTAATTGCAGCACAGATCTTTACATTCAATAATAAAGTAACAGGTTTTAATAAAAAATAAAAACATTTTTCCTTGAAGAGTAAAAGCAAAAATAGAACATCTAAATTAGAGCTTACTTCACTTTTATTTTTCCACTATCAACTATAATTCGTACACCGGGTATGGTAATAGATGTTTCCGCTATATTCGTAGCAAAAATAATTTTCCGCGTGTACTGGAATCAGAAAATGAATCTGAATGTCAAGATCTCGAAATTGACAGAATCAAAAAATATACAAAAATTTACCACAAGACATAAAATAAGTGTAATAAGTGTAACTAGTGAAGATGGCAAAATTCACAGTATTCGCTCGTCATACACAGCTGAAACGTACCTAAATTAGACAATAAATTACAATGATCTCAAAACCTTACTGGTGTACTAGCTGGTTCAAAAACCCGCATCTGTGCTGATGGTGGAAGGCCGGCATAGAGTGGGAGAGCTACCAAGCCACCAGTCAGAAGTTTCGAAGCTTCCTGCACTTTCTTGCAAGCTGTTTCAATTTCTTCCTGCCCAGTTAAGAATGCCAGCACGTCGGAGCTGGAAATACAAATGTATTTAATAAAATTCAGACTTAAAATTAAGTACACAGGTGTAAAGAAAAAGGAAAAAAATTTTTGCCATATAAAACCAAACATATCTTAGTTTGCTCTGAAAAAAAGTGCACTAGCATAATAAATTTTCAAGAAATTATTTGCAGAAAGAATTCACCTCAGTGGTTCGGTACGATGAATTTGTAAAACTACCGTCAAAACATTGAACACATAATCATCGTCTTTTTTATCCAATGAATTTGCATAAAAAATCTATAAAAAGGTTCATCATAAAAGCGCATTTCATATACATAAAGCAGTGAGGATTCTCTTATAATTGTGACGAAAACTAAATTTGATATAGTGTTCTATATCTATATGCAACGACTATTACTTAACCAACTCTAATATATTTCGAAGTTGGCAAGTCCCATCGTACTACATTATAACGAAAACAGCATCGTATAGAGAATTTAAATAAAAAAAAATGAAAACCATAGAGTTTAGTAAAATGAGTCAGTCTCTTACTTCGACTGGATAGGTCCTTCCCTGTATGATATAAACTGGTGCATCGTCAAAATATTCCGAAAAAACGTTAGTTTCCAATGTAGCCGACATGATTACAATCTAAAATTAGAGATTGATATTTGCAAAATTCTCAAGAATATCGAGATGAGTTATTTTTAATTTTAAGGTTGCAGGACAAAACAGAACACCAAAAAATATCAAGAATTAGTAAAAATAAAGAAATTGATAACGCAACTTCAATGGATTGGATGTACTTAACCGCTGCTTATAACAAAGCTTCAATAAATATAACAAGACATCTGTATGAACGGAACGTTCATGAGCTTCATCGACAATTACAATAGAATAATGTGTGAGTAATGAATCATAAAATGTCTCGCGTAAAAAAATACCATCTGTGCCGTAAACAATCTTTGTTTTATTACTTGTGGTGTTTTCGAACCTCACCTTATAGGCAACCTGAAATTAACTATTTGTTAACTCTAATGTTCCATTAGCTTTTTCTGTTGATATTAACTATTTACTAAATTTACGTGAAATCATTTGCTTTTAACAAATGTGTACTTTGTTGCTAAATATAATGCTAATGCTATCGGTACAACATTTATACAGAATAATATATTACTTTCAATAAGATTATGATATAGGCCAGTCGATGACAATTCAGATTTGGTATTTCTTTTTTGAATCTTATTATTTACTGGAGGAAAAAATTTTTAAATCGCCTGTTACGTCTTAGTTTTGCGGCGATAAATAAACAACATTCACTCTATTTCTACAAATATAAATATTACTTATATAAAATAATTTTACCACTTCACCAAGGTTTGCATTCATTTCCAAAGCGACACGTCTCGCAAGTGTAATTGCAGCAACACGCCGTGGCTGTGTAACAGCTAAGATACCGCTACCGATCAAATCTTCATCGTAACAAATCTGAATGATCAAGATTAGCATCGCAGTATATTTCAAATGTTGTGACATTTAAAGTTGGATAAATACAAGTTTTAGAAGGGACTAACGACATTGATCGTTCAAATACGCGGAACGCCTGGCTTTACATCTTACCTCATCTTCACTACTTGCTTGAGGAAGCACATGTCATATTTCAAGACGAAAAATTTGCAACTTAGAATTATGAATGCTCCTTCGTTCCGTATTTACTTGTTCTGTATTTGTATTAGTCAAGAATGCAAAAGACGCCAAATAAATGGATCAAACAGCTTCAGTTTTTGTACTTTTTAAAAGAATTCATTAATACTAAATATAACTCTCTAAAAAAGTAATCTCATTTGAATTTCATGAATAGGAGTGACACTTCTCAAAGTGGATCAAATTCAGCCAAACAATTACTCTCTCCACAATTTATTCTTAAACAAGCTTCAAGAGAAGAGACACCATGAACAACCTGGGGAATCTGAGTGCTTTTACCACTTCCAGTTTCACCAACAATGACTGAAATGCCATTTTCTCTTATCACTTTTGCCAGCTGTAAATGAACTCCATTGACGGGTAATTCCCCACGACGAAATTTTTTCTGAAGAATCAAATTAAAATTATGAGCGCCCTAATTTAAAACGAAATTATCAGGAGGTAGATGCACTTATGACATAAGATGTGGCACCAGAAATAGTGCTATAGATACAGAGAAATAGTGCTATAGGGGTTCTGAATAGAAGCAACGTTCTCAATTCCTTAAACAAAATGTAAACCATTCTAAAAAATTTGCAAGCATACAATATTCTCAAAACTTCATTGTTAAATTACAAACTCTACGCTTATGTGATAATATAAACTACAAACAAGTCTTTTGGTTTAGAAATCGATGCTCCCAGAAATGTTGAGAAATAACTTACAAGCCATTTGTGCTATTTCTCAAATTAAGAGCACTCATTAACAGCTCCTCTGTTGTTTTTTTATTCACCAATTTATCACTAATTGATATTACTTAAGAAATCAAAACAAATGATTCATAACAATCTCAGCTAGAGTGAAAACAAAATGAAGGAGCTGACCTTAGCTATAGGACACTGGTCGATGTTATATGTATTTTGTTTATTTTGCTTATACTGATTCCTGTTCATATCCTTTTTAATGTCCATTTACTTCATCCAACCATTTCAGTAGCATTATCAGGGAAAAATAATAATTGCAGGAATAATGAGAAGTCAATAAATTCGAACCGATGCTGATCTGCTGCGATGTTTCGAATGTATTATATGGCGGGAAGAGATTAACAATATAGAATTAGTCACAAAATGAACAGCAACAAGAAAAATGTGAATTAGTAGTAGCAAAGAGTAGAATAGAGATCTGTGAACTCTTCCGCAAGATATAATAAAGTTGGAACATTCACAAGAAGTAAGAGGTATATATATTTAACAACCACTATAGATAAAACTGAAATTATCATCAAAGAGAGCTCCATCGATATTAGCGAGTCCTGAGATGATTTCTTGCACTTTGAAAAAATTTTGTGTGTAACCAAACGCTTTATTTCTTTTTGAAGAATAGCAGCACTCTACTTAGCTGATTTGTCGCGTGATAGAGATGCGGTGGTGGGAGGATGACTCATAAGATGGATTGCGAAATGGGAGAGGGAGGGGAGCATACATGTTGTCGTGGTCGTCATTTTCGAATTTGCCAGAGAAGCGGGGGTGCGGTTCTGGTGAGGGGCTTGTTAGGGTTATACATTTGGTCGATGGCTTATCAGAAGTATTCCCCCGTCTCCATTTTCGCTTCTGCATATGTGTTGAGGGTAGGTAGAGGTGATGGTTGGTATGAATTGAGTTCCCAGCTAAGACTTTGTTAAAATTGTCTTTTCTGACATTGCAATTACTAATGTTTGTTTAAATTGTATTGTTTGTTAATTACAAGATTTTAGACTTCTGTTTTCTTTTCAAATTTTTCTAAATTAGATGAGAGGTTTTTCTTTAATTTTTTTTGTGTAATGTTGTTGTGTCTTGGAAAAGCAATAATTGTTACTATTTTGCTATTTAAAGATTACGTAATATTGAACTATTCCATTATTATCAACAACTTTCATGCTGTTTGTTGGCGTAGTCTAAATATAGCTAACTGGAAAAGCGATTAGTGGTTGGAAATATCTCACCCACATCGTCTTGAATCGTTAAGGTGCTGCTGGGCAAGTTGGTTTTAGTGAGATAATTCGTTGCCAATTTAGTTCAACCAACCGTTTAAATTTGAAATTTTTATAATTTGGAATCGATATATTCAGTTTCACTTCACTCTTCTTCCCTTTTTATTGCGAAGGAAAAAAGATGTATTATTCTAGCAGCAGTAAAGCAAATATTATTTATTTGAATTTTCATTAGTATTATATAGGATTCATGTATAATAGGAAAGAAATAGTCGAAGTGTGCACATAGAGTACCATTCATTATGTTTAACTTATCTCTGAAAAAGGTAAATCAGAATGGTAGAAGTATTTGAGGAATTGCCATCTAGTGGTTGAAATGTAATTGTAAGTATACAAACCATTTTGTCGCTCCGTTGCTTTCGAATTTGCTACGGTTCTTTTAGGTTAATGGAGGAGAATTTAACTTAACTTCCAACTACTTGTTCATCAGAATAATTTTCATTAATACATTTTAGCTATCAAGTATTATGCTTATTTTTCAGATTTGAAGATTGTGCTATATGCTTGACCGGCATTTGGTTGATACTAGAACAAAATTGTCAAACATGTCAAAAAATGTTGGAAGTGCAGAAAGTATATTAAATAACGATATCGATGACGGACGCCACATTATGAACATGAAAACTTTCGATGGACGAAATCGTCTGAAAACGGTTACAGATGGTGTTGTACAACCAGCTGATCGACAAGTAATTCAATCAGCTTTTCTTTGCGTAAATTTGTTCCCTTTGTTTAGTTTTCCTTTCTCTATTATTCCTACACATATTGAGGGAATTTATTTTTTATTGGTATGCTAGTTTTTTTCGGATTTGTAACAGCTTGTTAATATCTTTTGCTTAGCATTATAGAAAAGCTGTTATTTAGCATATTATGTAGTAAAATTAAAAGATTAAGTGGTTAGAGAAAAAGCCTTTTTCGTAGCGTAATGGGATTTCAGGATTCATTAATGCTTTGTCAGCAATTGCAAGAACAAGATGGTTTTGACTTTATGGATCAGAGCATGGACCTCACTCCCTATTTAAGAGATCTACGGGGAATAGATGACAGTAGCGAAGATCTAGAACCCATTATCGATAAACAGAGGATACTTGAATATGATATACGAATGCAACATAGCGTTTGTGGGTGTGTCAATCAATATGCAGATTTAACAAGCATTGGTAAGTGAGACTGCCTCCGCATTTTGATTTTAGTTTATTCTATGTGACGTGTTCTGTGTTATATAAATATGTTTTGTTAGAGAATAATCATAATGACTTTAATCTGTTATTGATGATCAGGCACTTGAAGTTTGCTAAAATCCTGAAACCCTAAAGTTCATGGAATTGGAAGTGATTCTTTCAAAGGCAAATTTCACAATTTCCCATATGTTTCTTAAAATATTCTTTTCAGCAGAAGCTATAAAATCCGATACAAGTCTGGATGATGCATTGGTTGCAGTACCAGAAACATCTGGTTTTGCAGTAACTTTTCAGCCAGTGAAGACGGAAATAACAAGTGGCGAGGAAGTGAAAAGAACACGAGAAACTCGACTAGCATCATCCGGGAAGAAGGATACATCAGAACAGATCGAAATTTCTTTTACACCAACTATCAAGCCTAGAAAGTATTCATTGAAGCCAGAAGTATGCTTTCACGATTTCATTTTTTATTATAGCTAAATATTGCTGCAAATTCATTTTATAAATTAATCTTCCAACATAGCAATTTCTTACATAAAATATAATCGATTACACACGCATTTCCTAAATTTATTGAGGATTCAGTTACTTGATGTTTCATCTTTTTACAAGTGGAGAATACTTGGATTAATTTTTTCTTTATTATAGGCGGAAAAGAAAAATCCGTTGTATCGACTGAAGCGTGAAAAAAATAATGATGCCGTAAGACGGTCGCGTACGAAAGCGAAGCAGCAACAAAAAATGAAAGATGAACAAATCAAACAACTTCAATGTCAAGTTACCGAATTTGGTAAAGCAGTAAATGTCAAAGATGAACAAATCGTGCATCTTGAAAATGCAATTCATGAAGTGAAAGAAGAAAATCGGCATTTACGCGTCGAAAACATGCGATTGAAGAGTGAATTAAATCAAGCAAAAAAACGGTGTTCTGCTCGCACCGTCTAACGGCGTGTTTGTTGATTGGAACCAGATATAGGTCGTTTTTTTTTTATTTCAGTTTTTTTCTATTTTCTATTTTTTCGTTTTTTTCTATTAGGGATTATTCTGGTTTTTTTTAATTCTTACTTTTGCACCATGTAACTGAACCTTTGGGGTATTGGTGCACGGGCTTTTTGTTTGTTTGTAAAATATCTCTTCGAAATGAGTGTTAAAATGTCTTAACTCTTCAAAAGATTGTGTATCAAAAGAGATCACTTCACTCCCGTTCATGATTATTGATTCTTAAATTCCTATTGTGTCATTGTTTAGTATTCTACTGTCGTACTCAGTTAATTTGATGTTATCATTCGTATGTTTTTATTCATCTTGAAAAGTTTACAAACTGATGCGTTTGACCCAATCACCAGGGAGATTCATGTATTTTGTTCACAAAACAAATTTTTATGGCTTATCTTCCATTGTGAAGTTATAGCGTGGTGCAGCTCCGCAATTTCGGCAAACCCTGATTCGTTTCTCCTAAGTAGTTTTTTTTAATTTCCGGTTGTAGTCTTCTTTAAGTCAAGAAGTTCGGGTTGTTATTGCCGGTAAAATTGTTAAAATGTTAATGTTAACGTTTTTTGGAAACTCGGCAAGTTTTTTAATTAGTAATACATATTGCTTTTTATGGAGATATGCATTTTTCTGCCGGTCGAGATATACCAGTACTGCTTCGGTTTCGGTATTTAGATAAAATATACAAATCAATAAATCTTCGATTGAAGTTTCAAGAAGCTATCGGTCTACTCGAGGTCTAAAACGTACTTCATTCTTTTCATTAGTCTTCTGGCAATTTTTTTCAACACAATCAAGTCAGGGTACATCTTCAAGGCGAGCCCTGTTGCTGGGCATCCTATCCCTCTATACGTGTAGATTCTTGAGCCGTTAGCAGTAGCAAATGAGGACTTCAGAGGGATATTCGAATTGTGACATAAATTATTTGGCAGCGCTGACCAATGGATTACGGAATCAAACATGTAGCTCTAGGTCATCAACATCGCTGTGAGTAATCGGTGTGCCTCCGTCTTGTGATTTTCACAATTTAACTTTTTTTTTAGATAAGCTATTGTTATGAACTTAAACTAAATGTAGGTTGAAATTCATAACAGTAACTTCCTATGAAGGGTTCTGTCATGCTGGAGCGCATTACTCATTTTTGTTTTACAGATATGAAATTAATGTCAAAACCCTGGGGATGGAAGAACATCGATAGTTCAAGAGGCAAACTTTGCTGGGATATAATAATATGGAAAATCAGAAAAGGAGAAGCACATATGGTATGTGAAAGAAGAGGATGGAAATACTGAAGTGCCTGATCCATAATGATATTCACAGAAATTTAAATGGAGATAAATTGCGGGAGGGAAAATATAATCTGTACTTTTCGTCTGCGAAGAAAAATAACTCGATAAAAGATGTCTAGGAATTTGAAAATTCACTGAGTCGAAATATTTGTACTATTTTCAAGTATCCTTTATATGCATATTTCATTTACCTTAACACATAAAAAAGCAAGATTTTACAACATTTTTGCAGAAAGTTCTGTCAAGCTCTAAAACCCTCAAATACCCAGCAAATCCCATTTTTGTACAAGGGAATAGTGGCTTACTTTGAATAAAGAAATAGTATTTAAAATAAATCTTTTTACTGCAGACTTATTTTCACATTGAATCATGGTCAATGATTGCTTATTTGTTTACCTCTTTTCCTAACGTACCCAAGCAGAACATTTTTCCTACATAGTTTCACTGGTCACAGTGTTGATTGTCTAGCTAGTAAATTTGCGGCTGCCGCTTCCACATCATTTCCACACTGTATAAGCATTGTACGAGCTGCTGTTTCTTCAAAACCAAGTGCCATCAGCGAAGCCAACTTTGCGCTATCCACTTCTACTGAAAAGAAACCACTTTCTGAAGACTGTAGTTAACACAGTGATAAAATGATAAAAAAGAAAACTGAGGTGGCTTGCGATTCGGAATAGATGCTTAAATTTTTGGAATCGAAATTAGCGATTTTTTTTGAATCTTAACTAGAAAGATTTTACTGGGAAGTACCATTCGCACTGCTAGCATGTGCAGTCCCGAATCGTTCCGGATTTCTTTGTGGAACTTCTGAATCCGGTAAGAAGTGCGTAAATGCTGATTCGCCGAATCTGTAAAGCATTTTTATAAGTCTACTGACACACGAATCTGTAGTATTTTTATAAAATCGAAACTTCGGCGTAATTAAAGAGCGTTGAATATTGGCAATAAACGGTACAGCTTTTAAATCACTTCTTACACTTTTCCTTCTTTACTTGAGTGTTTGCGTGTTGAATGGTCTCATATTAGTTCAATCAACAATATCAAAAACCTTTAACAGCTGAATGTAAGGAAGTCTCTCACCGCAAACAATTGTTTTGTAAATCAATGACACAACTGTGTCGTTTAAGAATGTCTAGGCCAAGCAAAACCTCAATATCACCGTTCGCCAGAACATCGAAATTACATGAGAAAAATTGCTCTTCAATTTGAACTTGACCTGAAATATCACCATTTTCATGATATTGTATAGTATGCAGGCGCTGACTTTGGAGTACAGTACAAGAAAAGTTATCACTTACATGCATGTATTTTTCCTAATAACTGTTGAGCGCCACCAACTCCATGTACCGTTGCTCGAAACCTCTTATCCACTAAGCGCATCAAATTGCAACGCTGCGCAATGGAATCGGACAATATAGACACTTGTGCTCCTGGGAATGTGAAGTTTTGACTTTCGTGCTTAAAAGTTAGTCTCATGAACCGATAGGCTTTTAAATCAACGGAACCCCGTAACAAAACCTTATAATGAACAAAAGATTTCATAAAATAAAATATTCGACTTGATAAAGTCTCAGTATTAAAAGACTTTACCAAATCAAAAACTTGTTATAAATCCTTTCACAATTACCGTTACAAGGGAACTTCAACAGAAATATCTGTTGTTTTAACAAACCTGAATCCACGAATGCTTTTACTTCGACCCCATTTATTTTCATCTTGATGTACAGCATTGTCACAGGTATATAAGCTTCGGGCATATGTTCCATTGCGAACTGATGTGAAAAGTCAATGTTTTCACGTTGGATCTGTTCGGCAATCAGTCGTTGTCCTTCGGCACTTGTTGGATCAAGCATTTCTCGTTCTCGAGCAAATGCATTTTCTCGTTCAGTAATATACTGTGCTTTAAACATATCTGCAACAGAACCATTGTCAAGAACTACATATGACCAAACTGAATCACCCAAAATACGTCAATGTTTCAGCAATATAATTAATACGTAGCATTCACGCAAATGGGAAACGAAAATGAACATGCGCACAGTTGATGCACATTATATGTGAAATCGAACTAAAAGCAGCTAGTACATTGATTAGTTAAATGTAGGAGCTTTTCCTAATTGAAAATCAAAATGAAAATAAAACACTTTTTTTATATATTTGCTCCACATTTTCATCTATAGAATGTCAAATTTAGTCCCTATATGAAAGAAAATTATGATAAAAAAAAAATACAGTGAAAAAGATAAAGAAGCTAATGCATTAATAAACTCTTCTCCTTAGACATGTGTCAACAAAATCGTAAAGGTGTTTCAAGTAGTATGATGGGTCTCCTACCAAAATTGTTTTGTTCAACCGCAGCAACTAAATTTGGAACAACGTTACGCAAACGATCGCGACGCTCCATGCTATTCCTGAGTCCATCAAAAAGCATACGAAGCTAAAAAAAAGAAGTAGTAAAACAGGTGGTCAGCAACAATAATAACATTATTTTCTTCAAGCACTACGACCATTTTGAACGAATAATGAATTCTTATTCCCATCAAATGGTTGTTGGTGGGAACCGGACAAAAACGCAGTCTAGATTAAAATGAAATAGTAAGGCTCTTTTACTATCCCATATCTATAATACACTATCAGAAGAAATTAGTATGAACTATTTTCATAATAAAATAATTTTACGAGAGAGTATGGGGATGGGGATGATATGGGGATGATAAAATATGGGGATGATATGGGGATGATAAAATATGGGGATGATAAAATCTAACCTGATCAAGTTCATTATTTTTTAGATCACTCTTGCCATGACGCATGTTATCCTGTGGCACTCTGATTGACTTTACTAAATCTGCAACCAAAGTATTTGAATATCGAGGTTGTTTAGAAGATGTTGTTGGTTTGTTTGCTACCAGCACAATTATATCATTATCATATATTTTCCAATCCTGTAAAAAGACGCTCTAAATAGATTTTCCAGAAAGTCTGGGATTTTCGCATTTCATTTTTATTCAGTAGTGCTTGTCCGAAACAGAAGCTTAGTATTAAAGGATAGTGAAATCAAATTAAATTGTTAGTATGGACTGAACTTATGCTACCTTTAGAGTCAAGTTTTTTTTCCCTTTCAACAAAGATTGGCTGACAACTTATTAGCATGAGTAACGATATCATGCACTTCTAAAATATAATACTTTTGTTAGAACATGGGGTTCAAAAATCTTCAAAGCAAGATTTCCATAAATTAATTTCCAGTTAATTCACCAAATAGTTCTCAATAATCTATCATCAATCTATTAAGACTTGATGAAAACCAACATTCAAAGTTTTCTTCAAATTGCTCTCATTCACATTCATTGTATGTCCATTGTGAATGATGTTTAACTGCGACGTCGGTACATCACTCAAGGCAGGAATTTCAATTTTGCAAAGTACCAAAAAATTTTCCATTTCCATATTGTTGCTTATTTCAATTGGAAACACATTTGCTCCAGTCAAGTCGCATGTCACTATTACTTTCATTGCAGATGGATACAGATAGACCACACCTATCGCTTCTTTATATGTTTGATTCGTAAGACTGAAATTTTGGAATGACTGATTTGTATTATTTACTATATATATAATATAATTTTCGAAAAAGTTTCCGAAAATTTTCTGATTAGAAAAAGGTCTACCATGCTAACTTACACACACTTGTGGTAATTTTATCTGTAATGGCGAACTTTTCATAATTATATTTATTAAAAGCATAAACCAAAAGCGGACTGGAATTAGTACATTAAAAGGAACATAGATAACTGTCTATTAAAGTTGGAGCTGAAAATTCCACATCAGTAGAAATAAAAAAAAAGAGTAGAAATAAAGCCCTGAATAAGACCGTTAGGATTCAACATTTATTTTACTTAGCTAACTGTCCCAGAAAGTATTAAAGAAATTTACTAAGCCTGAGCGGTAGTATTTAATTATTCTTTAGGACTAATTTATCATTTTATTGGAATTAAGACATCAAAATGTATTATCAAATAGCAAACAACTCACAGTGCATGCTAAATCACGGAGATTATTATACAAGAATTCTACGGTTTCTATTCGATTTTCACGGGAATTGGACCTTTTAATTTCACTAGGTAGAATCGATTTGTTAGTTATTTCTGTTATCTGATCTCAAAATTTAATCATAAAACATTACAGCTCTAAACTTTTTTATTTTTTATTGAAGGAACTCAAGTTGCTCATGTCCTCTTAGATAATCAAGCGGTCACTTCATTTATACCACACAGAAATAATTGCTGTTTAATACGATGTGAAGTCAACTTGAGCCAAAAAATCAGAGCGTGTATGCTTGATAAAATTTGATTTCAGAAAGTCTAGAAGTGCAGGATGGTAGCAAAAGAAAGAAGCTACTGAAATAAGAAATCATGAGGCATCACATTCATGTTTCAATTGCATAGCAAGAATTGCATATAATAGACAACTGGCACCAAAGGTGTAGTTAAAACGGTTTGATAATTCTTACTATAGCTTCATTGATTACAACAATTTTGTTTGAGATTAAAGTTATCAATAGGTGGTCGAACTAGGACATAACAAGGTGTATTTATTCGCAGCCTTTCTTACCCATGCCTACTGGTGCTTATCCAATTCAGATCACAGAAGTTAATGTCAAATGATAAGATCGCATCACAGTTACCACCACAGTTATTATGTCACTCAGATATTTTTTTATAGACTACTTTAGCGCGAAATCTTATATTTCAAAGTACTGTCTGATCGCCAAGCTTCAAACTCCTTTACTTGATTCAAATTAATTTTATGACATGTTGGTTTTGCTAATGAATAATTCAAATACAGAAAATTTTTCAAAATTAAAAAAAAAATTTGCACTAAGCAAAATAATTTCAAATACTCTAGAGATAAATAAGATAATAAGTATTCGTGTAGCTCAAAAATTTTAATTTTTTTGATTTTTTTTGAATGAAATTTCCATTTGAAAGTTATCATAATTCATTAGATCGATTACATAAATCATTTTTTTTTATAATGATGATATCCTTGTTGTCTTCATAATAATGCTAATATTAAATTCATAAATATATATATATATATCCATAAAAATGTTGTCAATAATTACATTTGCAGTGTGAATTAAGGAGAAATAGAAGAAAATATTTTCTGCTTGAAATGAAGCAACGAATTGGTGATAATAATAAGCCTGTTAAGATGACCTCAATAAAATTATCAATATATGTTATCACCATATTAGTAGTTAATTATCCGATAAATTTAAATTTGTGGGATTAGCAGTAGTTATACAATGATCATATAACTGATTGAACTACATCGAGGAAATGCTACTAAGTTTGCTAAGAAATTGTCACATAGGGTTAACTTAAAAAATGAGTAAAAGCTCACTATCCTCAAACAGTTCATTTTATACTTTTACTGCTACTTTTGGCCAACATTCTATATGTCTTATCAATATATTAGCATCAAAAAACAGTTCATTCATTCATTCATTTTATTTAAAAATCATTTACTTTTGGGATCTTTTCTTATGTTCATAATGATCCGGGAAATATTAGAATACAAGAATACAATTAATATTAATAGTTCTGTTAGATGTATAACAGTAGAAAATGAACTGTTTGAGAATGATAACTCATTAACAAACACAACGGAATTATTTCTTAATGAGTTATCAGGATAATTCATCTTACTCAGTATTAAGAGTTTATCGTAGGATGAAAGACTCAAAAATCATTAAATTTTACAAGCAGTAAAAGAGAAACAATGAATAATCACGGGGAGTACCATTCGCCAACTGCTGACAAGTGTCATCTTGAACACAATTTATCGATCGATGGATGGGAGTTTAACATCACCAAAAAGCAAGAATTATAGAAGTAACTAATCTCATAACATTTTCTCGAATGTCTGATTTAACAGTTACGCAAGCAAAAGTAGAATATGCAAATAACTAACGTCCTATGAATATATTAAATTGTAGGTTCTATGAATATATTACGGTAGCAACAAAAAAAAAAAGACTTCAATTGTTATTCTCTGCTCCCATGGAAACAATTTTAGATTCACTAAACAACTTTCAGACTCACTGAGAAGTATGACTTATTTGACCTCTTCATACAGAACGACCAACTTCCTTGAATATACACTAATTAATAATCTGCTGTTAACAGCTGGCAAGAAATGAAAGATTCTGCAAAGTTTAACTTCATTTCTCGTAAAAAATAACAGGAAATGCATAATAATATTCCATTCTACAATTTCCAGCTATTCGGATTCTAAAGTATAGAGTGACGTTTTAATAGGTTTGAACTGATTTATACAATAATTGCACGATTCAATGACACATGAAAATGAGAAAACAGAAACGCCAGCAGTAAAATCAATCAGGTAAACATCCTCATTGATTTTATTTTATAACACATCCTCAACAGGTTGAAAGAGGAAGGAATGCACGAAAAGCAACTGAGAGATGAGAAGTGAATATGATAGAGACTTAAGTTTCTAGAGCAGTCCAGCAGTTCAACCGTTCTGGTCAACACCTCAGCCGTCCACCCACTTCAACTTTATTGCCTTGGGATCGCTGTTTTCGTATTGCTCTTGCCACGCTTTCTTTTATGATCGTACAGTCATGAGAAATAATGCGGATGAACCCTTTAGTGTTTGGTGCCGTTATTGCGTTACATTTAAATAATACTGCTTAGTTATTTTGTCATCCTTGTTGTTGCCTTTATATAGCAATAATACATTCTACTATAAGCACATTTATATCGCATTCCCCCCCCCCCTTATAGATTTTTTTCCACTTGCCTGCTTAATTCTTTTTAATCTTATCAATCTCCATTGTTATAAATTTACGAGAACAAACAACTACATACATATATCTGAATTACGATGATAACCGAAATTCATTCTATCTCGTTTTTCAGGTATAAATTAAGAATATCGACGTTATTCTATCATGGAAAGTTTATACCATGAAACAAATAGTCTTTTGCAACAAATACACTTTGATTTGGGTACATTGGAAGGTGTGCGAAATGAAAGTGATGCTCAAAAAATTATCCAAAATATTTACCAGCGGTTAAAGTATGTTTTGGTTATGTATCTAATCTTTCCATAAAGGATGCAGAATTGTTGTACTTCAGTATAACATTTCAGGTCTTATGCTTTAGCCAGCTGAGCATTAATATTATAGAAGGAATCTTATTGGAAGGTTCCTATTAAAATCACATTTTTAACTAAGTTTAACTTGTCTGAAATTAAGAACTACTACAGAAAAAACGGAAGAAGGAATCTTCATAATTACTATCAATAATTTGAATTTTGATCAAACATATTATGATTGGTCGGCAAACTTTTCTAAATCTCTTTTTTAATTTGAAATTTATACCTTTTAAATTTAGTCGTAACATGCAGGCAGATTGATGGGAATTGTCAACGCCTAGATGTATATGTTAGCAAGGAACCGCCGCATCGTCGGCGTACTGTCAAATATAAAATAGATCAGTTGAAATTCGATTGTCATTCATTACACTCAACTGTTGACAATATTCATATACGTATGACCAATAAATGGAGGGCCATTGCTGAAAGAGAAGAACTTCTGACTCAAAGGTATTTCAAGTTTATAGAGGGATGGAAAAGTTTTTTTTTGGAAGACTTATGGTTTAATTAGATTTCTAATTTTTTTGATTTAATTCTATTAATTTGGTTTGTTAATTTGTGATTTCATTGTATGGATAGTCTTCACTCATTTAGAGTAGAAACATATCAGTAAAGTACATGCGCTTACCGTCCCATATAATTACAGGTTTCGTCCAAATGATACCACGCATGTTTCAATTGAAAATTGCGAATTATTTCTCCATGATCGTTTGCATTCCTCGCACACTGCTGTTGATGAACTTATTAGCCATGGAAGCGCTGTTTTGGAGCAGATTCGTTCACAAGGGATAGGATTAAGGGGAATCAAACGCAAAGTTCTAGATTTAGGACAAACGGTATGTAATTCTTATTATGCGAATTTTTCAGAACTTTTATAGCATTTAAGTAACAGGTTGATTTGTATGATCTCATATATGGTTTATTTCGTGCTGTAGGAAAGAAAATTCCATGCATAATGTTTCATAATTTTCATTTAAAGAATTATATTAACCAAAAGAAAATACTTCTAGCTAACATGTGTTGTAAATTTTTTATGGGAAAGATTTGGATTTAACACAACCGAACTGTAGTGAAGGCTTAGTTGATTTAGAGCCTTATTCTTGACATTATTACACAATTGTCAGCTGTATAGTAACTAAGTCCATCCTGTGGTTACTTTTCTTTGCGGTAGATCCGTGAGGATAATTAGAATTGTGTTCTGACGCAGTGGTTCCGACAAGTTTTATACTTGTTGAGTAGGAAAACTTATTCTTCAGTCAGCAGCTATATATTGCTTTTGAGTTGGAGATGCTTGGCCGTATTATTCATTGTAAAATGGACAAAGTCATGGTATAGGCGGAAGTGATGTTAATTAAGAGATTACTTGATAAAAAAACTGATGGGAAACAAAGGATCGTTTAAATATATATAGGCAAGCCGATAGTAACCCAATGATCATGTACTCGTTTTAAGATTACGTGTAATCATACCAAGAGTCATGGAGACAAAAAGAGTTGTGTGATCAAAGGGGAAACATTTGCTAGTGGCAAACAAAACATCTTATTATATCATTTAGACATAAAGCAAGCATAATGAACAGAGGACTATTTTAACATTTGAGACAATTTAACACATTTATGAGTAATATCTATAGTATGAATTGAATAAACGATAAATTTAAAGCAATTTTCTAGAATACAAGCATTCGATTATTTGGATACAATAATTGTTTCATAAGGTTATCTCGGATTTTTGGCAATAAGTGTAACTAAGCATACTTTTTTCGGTCATTCATATTGCATGAAAGCATTATATAATTGTTGCTTATTTTAGCTTGGCTTATCATCGACAACTTTACAAATGATTGAAAGGCGACTAAGTGAAGATTGGATTATTTTTTGTGCAGGTTGTATGGTCTTCATTGTTTTCATGTATATTTTTTACCGATTTTGGAAAAATTAATTGTTTTTCAAGCCATTACTTTTTAACACTCCTATTTAAACTTAGTAGGTTTCATAAATTTTGGCTTGATTCACGTTCTCAAATGTGCCTCATAAATTGACTATAAAATGTCCTCCAAGAATATTCTGCAGAGGGTTTTTTTATTGCTTCTTTATAAAGCCGAACTTATTCACTCTTGTTGCTCTTTTTTTCATCCTATCAATTGAAGGGCTTTGTTTGATATGTGGTAGGAATTTCCTGTTAAACAAAGAACTGTGTCTTTCGAAGGTATTCACTGGTTTTCAACATTTGAAACACTATTTTTATTATACTGTGAATTACGTGATTGTTATATGTTGTTCACTGATTAAATTTTGAAAGTGTTGGATTGGCGAAATTTATTTTTAGCAATATGTCAACACAAAAATGCTCAATAATTCCGCAGAACTGCTTGCCTGACACTTGTTTCCTCTTCAGCATTTTTAAATTGGATTTGTCATAGAATCATGACAAAAGAAAATAAATTCTATGTTTTTATGAGTTTCATCTTTGAATCAAATTTCTTTTTTCTTTGTCTCTTGAACTTCAAATAGTCGTAAAACTAGTCTTTAACAAAATATATCAATAAATACTTTGAAATAGTGTCTGTGCAGCAGGTCACATTGTTCTTATATTCGTTTAGCCTGTTAATGATTCAGTTCTTATTTACACCATTAATCACCATTCTGTTCGCTTCATAGCAGTTATCACGAAATTCATTTATTACATTGTTCACATTGCGGAAAATAGGGATTAGCTTGTAGAACCTGACACGGTTGTTTTGTGTGGTTGGTTTCGTGCAGGTATTATTTCTTTTTTTTCATTCATGAACAATTGCTCAATCTCTTCAATACGTCTTCCGCGTGTTTCCGGAGCAAAAAAGTAGAAGATGATGAAACCAGTAAATGAAATACCAGCATATAAAAAAAACGCACCTGAAATTATGATGAGTATTAGGGTGCTGCGCACTTTTCAGTATTCTGCCCTCTTTTGAATCTTTACGTCCCATGTTCTCGAAATGACTTTTATTTTTATAATAGTCTTCTGCGTTAAGACCATGTTCTTATTTTTGTCAATCAATTTTTCCTTTTTGGTACATGACATATAAATGATTTAATAAGCAAATTTTCAAAAAGTAAAAAACAAAAATCGTCAGACCATGTTTGGTGATAGCTTGACTTAAGCTGAGATATGTTAACGACATCAGAAGATTGAAGATCCAATTTGTAAATGTTGATAAAGCGACACATGTGCCTCTCGCCCAGATAGGATAAATCTCAGCATTGAAAACCCATGGAATTGGGCCCATACCTGGAATGTTGATAGTGAATGGATGAATGATCAGGAAGAATTCTTCAATAATCTAAAAGGAACTTGCTTTGAACCGTTAAAACTTACCAAACGAATAAACAGATATATAGAGCACCATAATTATTATTGGTAGTGCTGTAAATCGAGTTTTACAGGTAGCGTCGGTAAATAAGTAAAAAGTTGCATTGGCCGCACCGTCCTGAAAATGACATGAAATTTGGAAACATGAAAAATGAAGCAAAACATGAGGTGGCTTAATGCTGTTATTTCGATTAGTTCTTCACGACCATTTAATGAGCAGTGTAACGCATTTCTAGTAATAACGCATTTCAATCAATCCACTATCGATTGAGTTAACAATAAGCCAAACAATTCCTCAAGTTGACCAACAAATGACCTCTTTGTCTTCCTAAAGACTTTTAGAAATATACACATTGTGTTCCAGCAATAATACTCTTGCAATATTAAGGCATTTGTATCACGATAAATTCAATAAATTCTTAAAAGCTTTAAACTAGTGATGGGAAATGCCTTAAAAAATTAAGAACGTTGTGGGAATATTAAAAATTTTTTACGACTTACAAAGTCATTTTTAAAAAAATGCAAGCAAATATCGCATAAGGAGACATTACTGCATGCATGCTTATATGGTCTTTTGTGTATTCCATTCATCCTAATGAATTTTTAGAAAATCTATAATCGAAATATTGACATGGAAAATGTTCACAATACCTTGCAGTATCCATAATGTGAATGTTGAGCATTTTCTGGATTGACAGGTAAGCATTGCCCAAAACTTGGTGATAATGACGAGGACTCTTCTGTTAAACTACAATATCCACAATATTCTGACGTTACACAGTCATCGCAATTTCTAGAACATTGAACAAAAGAACATTTGAATGCTAATATTTTATGCTATGCATTTAATGTGACCGAAGTAACGCGAATTGCTAAAAGGAGTTCCATGTAAATAATATCAAATCTGAAAATAAAGTTCACATCGATTCAATATCCTTTATTATATAAAGGGCACTTCCATTTTTATAATTCAGTAAAAAAAATTTTTTAAATCTTCAGGTTTACCTGTATCCAGCGCATAAATCCAGTAGTTCTTTATTTATGTCGGTAGAATTCATATCTATACCGATATAGGCATGCGCTTAAAAAAGAATTGATTAGAGAGTGTGAAAGATTCCTATTAAAATCATATTTTTAGGAGAGGGAAATCTTCGATAGTTCAATACTGAGCTTGCTGATTTCATTTCATTGAAGAATTTTACTAAAAGTTTAATATGTTTCGCTTTGCATTAACAGCACTAATCATGGAATTACATAAGTTACTACATATTTCAATATAATAATTATAAGTAATGTAATTAACAATGTCACCTACAAAAGATAATTCCTGCTAACTGCATCGCCTGCAATTATCACTTACCAGGATCAATTTTTGTGGAATCATAATTAATAAGAATGAATGCACCACCCATCATACACAATGTGATAACAACACCGATCAGAGAAGATAGTACAAGGGTACGTCTTCCAAGCCGCTCGATCAAATTCAGTGGGAATATTGTCCCAACTGCTTGTACACCTGCAAGATTTTAAATTTTAATTTTCTAGAAGCAAATTACAAAAATACGAAGTTTAGTGTAAAAATTTAGTAATTATTGGATTACTTCAAGTGCTAAAACGATCTAATTGGAGAATGTCAATCAATAAATTATTTGAAACAAGAAAATATTATTTACTTGAAATACCACATGAGATCCAAATTGTTGTAATTTTATCGTGTACACCGGCCGAACGAATGATTGTACTAGTATAATATCTTAAATTGATAAATAATTTTTCTACTCCAATTTATTTTGTATTTTAAAATTTTTGCAAAAAATATTTTGCAAAAAATGAAATGATGATGAGCGAGATTTGTATATCCATAAAATTGACTGTTAGAGACGAATGAATCATTTAATATTTTATATCTCAAAAAAACGGAAGCGGTATGGTCTAACTTTCTAAAACAATAATGTAACAAAAATCGTTTTAGTTAAGAAAATAATTATGAAATCTGTTACGTTTATAATTCTAAAGGAAAAGAAAGAGTTACAAAATAGTATTGATTCCAGCAAGTTGTTGAAACATTTGCAAAGCGCAACCGAGCATCAAAGCTTTCCGCACATGAGCTGTTCTCAGTACCCTATGTAGGACGAATTCATCTCCTATCAATAAAACAATCAAACTTGAAATCTTTTCAAATTCATAAATAAATTATTTCATACAGTTTCTGATAGCTTAAAAAGTATTAATAAGATAAGAAGAAAAGTTAAGAATTTTGAAAACAATTATGTGCCCAAAGTAAGCAATCGAAAAATTAATTTGTATAGAAGAAATGCAGTAATATGTCATAAAAAGAAAAATATGATATAACAAAATATGATATAACAATAAAAATTTCAATTAATCAATTTATTCAGACCTTAGGTACTTACCGTTTTCTTGACGAAGTATTGCTTCACGTTGCATTTCACGTGTTACTTCACCCATCTCATAAGCAATCCATTCCTTATCATTACCGTATATTCGGTTCAGCACTTTTTGCGTTTCTTTTTCACGTCCATGATTGATCAGATAACGCGGAGTTTCTGGTAGGAAGAAAAAGCCGACTAGCTTAAATTAGTAGTGAATTCATGTTCATTGTTTTAACAAACTGAAGTGATATATTGGAAAGATATATTTTAGTGCTTCTTTAATTTCGCAATTACATCTAAAATTTTAAAAAGTATTCTTTCGAATTTTAATAAATTTTTTCTGAACTTCTTCGACTTCCAAAAAGCGGAAGCTATGAAAACTTATGCAATGTTTTAGAAACTCTTTTAAAGGTGACGTTAACTTCAAAAATCATTATCTTATTTTAAACAAATTAAAATCTTCAAAAGAAAGTAAAGATCACAGCACCTGCACTAAAGCTGGTACCGCAGCAAATGCGAACATTAAGCGCCAACCAACATTTACTGGATCATAACGAGCAAACCATGCCGCCACAGCATTAGCAACTGTAAATCCGAATGCCACCATGAACTGATAAATAGTTACCAATTTTCCACGTACTCTCGTAGGGGCTCCTTCACTTATATATACAGGTACAATCATCGATGCAAATCCTGTAATCCTGTACAGTTGTTAAATAATTAAAGATGTGATGTTTTAACTTGTAAAGAAGTGGATGATAACTTCCAACAGTTTAGAATATTAAAATTTTAATTTGAACTTCGACATTTTGCTATCAAATAAAAAGATCTTCCACCTTTCATTGGTTCTAATTTTTCCAATAGAGATATTTTATGTTTATGTTTGGAAAAATTTTTAAATATTTAATTACCAGTAATACTTCATTGCCTTGTAAGATTTCATTTAATTTTCTTTGCAGATTAAGATGGAACATATAATATTCAACTGATACCAATAGCAATTCCCAGCAATATACGTCCAACGAGTAATGTCCATCGATCGAACGCAACACTGCATATAATAGCGCCAGCAATGAAAAAGGTTGTAGCTGACATTATCACTTTTCGACGACCGAATTTATCGCTGCTTTTACCTATAATTTGATTATTTGAAATGTATGTTTTATAAGTTTGATATTTTAACAAATTTTAAATAATTTAATTTCCATTCGACATATTGCACTTCCCATAAACGCCAACTTGAAATCTGATGGCAATGTGAAATAGGAATTCAAGTACGGAAGCTGAAGAAATGATAAAGAAACTTTGCACTTTTGTTAAAATGTAAAAATGATATCGATGAATAGGTCAATGTTTTTTGATTTTTTTGATGACCGCTGTAGTGAAATTTCCAAGATACTGATATTTGCCCTTTGCATGATGTGTCCCAATAACGTTTTCAACTTTTCGTGATGATGCATTCTTCTTCCGATCTCTCGCGATATTTCTCAGAGATAAAATATTTCGAATGGATAAAAATTGAAATTCAAAAGAAATTTTAATAACCTGCAGTTAGAGCAGCAATACCTGCCACGCCGGATGTTATACTAATTATAATCTCCTTCCAAAGAGTTGATAAACCACCGATATGTTTGTTATGTGGTAAGAATAACATTATGCTAAAATTATGTTCTGAATTGAAAGGGAACACGAAATTTTTCTTAATTATAATTTCTATTCCACTTAACAAAAACAACAAGCTGCATCTGAAAAACAAATATGAAATGAAAATTTAATTGCACTCAAATTTCTAATCTATTAGCATAACTAAAAATGACAAAAAAAATGAGAAGAAAATTGAAATGAATAAAATTTGAGCCAAGATATCATCATCACATACCCGGAAACAATGCCTGTATCATAGCCAAATAGCAAACCTCCTATTGCGGCTATCAACGTTAAAAGGTAAACATATGCATTTGTTTTTGTTTGTTTCCTTAAGCCTTGCTCTTCTTGGTGATTACTGTTGGCCTTAAAAAAAGAGCTAATTTCCTTATAAGGTAATTTTTATGTGGTAGGTTATTGGTCAAATATAATCTTTAGATAACTCGAAAATCTATCACTTTTAATCGCTTTATCATTTGATTATATTTCCCAGATTTTACCCTTAAGCTGTTCTGGAACTCAGAACTGTATGTTCAAATCAAACGAACAAGACGACAATTTGAAAATATTTTATCAAACGTTAACTTTTTTGGAATGTTATACCACCATTATTTTTGTTTTATTTTTCAATTATCATTCATTAATTGATAAGAATGATTAATGAACTTCTTCACTTCTTTGGCCAAGATAAATTATTTTTTTTCTTCTTTAGACTACTTGAAGTTTAAGTTCTAGGCCTACAATAGTCCGACCCTGATGAATTCAAATGAATTCAATGTAATTACAAATATGGTCGCGAGATTTTAAATGTTGTTCTTTTTACAATATTATTTCTTCTAAAATTTACTGTTATTTGAGTGAATAAAATATAATTTAATCAAATATGAAAAGCTAAATTTGCATTACAATTTTATACAAAAATAAATTTAAAATTTCATACGAAAAGCAAAAAAGATCAAAGCATTAATTTTAAGTATGCCATTAAATATCTAAAATAAATGAAATGCTGAAAAATGCTAAAAGAGATGAATACAAAAATTAAAAATTTCAGGCTCTGATTACATTTAAACTATTTTTGCAATAATAGGAAAGCTTACAATCCCGATATAAACCATCGAAAATTCTTGTTCACTTGGGAAATTCCTGAAGATTAAAGATTTAATATTATTCAACTAAAACTGAAATAAATAGAGGAAGGTATTATCAAGTAAGTGATCAATCATCAAGCAGAACGAAAAAAAACTTGAGTTACAATGCCGAAACAGACTAGCTGTATGAAAATAAGGTGCTCATATAATTTAGAACGACGAAGAGAAAAGACATTCTAACAGAGTACATTACAACTTTTCTGTAGAAAAAATTACATCGACATCTTAATAATTTAAAATATATATGTGGGCTCATCCATCTTTCAGAAATAGACTCATCGCATTAACTGTCAAATCAGTTGATGTGTATCAGGAATTTACGGTGAGTAATCATTCTTCTGCACAACATCTTTATAATATTACTTTTGCTATGTTTTTCAATTAGAAAAAAAAGGAAATGTTGCACGATTAAATTGAAATAGGAAGAAATGTCATATAAATGGGAGAAAATGTCGCAATGATAGCTATTAAAGAAATTAATAAATTTATTATTTATATTGGTTTACACGTATTTCATAATATCAAAAATGCAATATATTTTCTAAATTTTATAAAAGAAAGTATATTTGAGGAAATACTTTAAATAATCATCCTGAAATTGTAGAAATTTTTGAGAATAGAAATTACTAAAATCTGTAATTTTATTGATTTTGTCATTTTCGCAGTTGTCCTGAAATTTTCTCAATTCGTTAAATTTCTCAAAATTTCTTGCTGTGTATTTTCGGGAATACGTTTGCAATAACTTGTTGTAAGAGCACAAAATAATATCTAACATTTGGTTTATTCGACCTTTTCCGAGGTAGATTGTGCCACTGATTTCTGGCAAATTATCCAATAATTGCTACTCAAATCAGTCAAGGCCTATCACTTTGTTCGTAAAATAACCAAGGAGTTCATGACAGTGATATTTATGAAGAAGATTAAATATAATTCATAATTTCTAAGCAAAGTGGAAGAAGTCGAGAAAGCATTATGCTATCGGTTACGGTGAATGTCACGAGTAACCTTAAACATGCGGGATTCCTTTTTACTCTGGTTCAGCAAAAGGTCTTTTTCGATTTGAATGAAAATAGAAGTGGTCAGTGATATGGCTGAAAAGAGAAGCACTTGTTTAGAGTGACTGATAGATGATGATCTTCCTCCGCTATTTTGATAAAGAATAGAATAGTTTGATGTCTTGCAAGGAATGCAAGAGTGTAGCAATAATTCATTGAAACTTTTCAACAAAATCAGTCAATAATACTAGTCAACAAAACTACACCCACCAAATGATAAAAAATAGCAACAATAATAAGTTCTATTCCCTGCTGATTATACAAATCAAAGGTTCGTTCTTTGTTGAGTGATACATGTCGAAGTTTCTATTGTTGTTGGATAATACATGATGATCTTAATCTATATATGCAATATTCTTCGTTATCAAAATTGAATGTTTGATCGAATTCGTTTTTCATTCATCATTGGCAAACATATGATGAGAGCAATAAATATTGATTCTGAATTATCTATAAAATTTAACAGTCATCATGGGATTAACACTATGGTTGTGAACAAAGGTTAAAAATTCTATCCTAATCACATTTTTCCATTTTTGGACTGTGTATTTATCGTTACAAAGTGAGGAAAGTATCATAGATCAAAATGTTAATGAATAGCTGACAATACAGTCTGTTAAGATGTTCCTAAATGGAAAAATGTTGTAGAAAAATGAAAATAGACAAGGAAGGAGACGATGTCCCATCTTTAATGATATGCAAATAGCATCGTTATGACTTTTCTAATTTCCATTTGTATTGATTATGGCAATGAAAACCCTCAACAAATATATTTAATACGGCCCTAAAAAGATGAGCTTCTCTTATCTTGCCGAAAGCATATCTTTCTTTTTCAGTGATTTGATTCGCTTTGTAATGAGATAGCAAAGTTCTGATAACAGTTCATAAATTACATTCTGATGCGCAATAGTTTTATCCATTTAATAAGTCTAACATTGATAATTTACTTTTTTCTATCAGTAGAAGATAATATATAAATATTGCATTTCATTTTATGTTCATAATGTATTGAAAAGAAAGATTATGAAAAATTTTATTTTATTACCAAAGTTGAATTATTTAATTTTTAAGAATGAGAATAAAAAAGGGAAAAGAAAAATGTAAATTTCGAGCAATTTGAGCAGACCAAAAACAAAGCAAACGAACTCCTTTAATAATTCTCTTTTTTGTTTGCTTCTAACAATATGTAATTTATTTTGAAATCACTACTTCAACTACCGTACCTTGCATCAACCGTTCTTACCGATCTTAAAGATAAATTTAATGAAGAGAAGGAGTTAGCCCTAGATTATAATAGAGTATTCCCGAGTATGCATTAAAAAGCATTGCTTAAAGAAATTATTTATCAATTGATGAAGTTACAGTTGACAATGGACAGGTAGAGCATAGATTGTTTTTAAGTGATGACTTCATTCTTAGAGTACCAAAGCATTCTTCGCTTATCAGTTCTGAAAATGCTGTTCAAATTTTTGAAATAATTTTACTAGCAATTAAAATCACATTATTCATCTTTGAGTCATCCGATACTTTCACTGAATAACTACTATTGCCTTCTTTTATTTCTTATCTACATCGACATTACCGATTACTTGATAAAAATTTTAAAATTTGCTTCCTGATTTTGATTAACTTTGGAAAAATTGACAGAAAAAATTTTCTTACATAATAAAACAAAAAAGGGAAACATATCGGTTTCGTTGGTGCTTCGTTTCACGATTAGTTTCTTTCATTTAAATACAAAAAACTATTCATAACTTTAACTTTCCAAGATTTTGAAATTTAATCATTTGAGGATAATACTTACATGGCCAGGTGTACTGGGAGGAATTCTCGAGAATGGACACTTGCCTTCTTTATAATAGCAATAAGCAAATGTTGCAATAATAGCCGTTGCAGTTATCGCTAACATTACAACACAAATGTTTTTTGCATTTTTCTAAAGTATTCGATGCAATTTCGGCAATATTAATCGCATAATTTTTTCCAGTTACGATTTCTGGATCTAATTAATAATTTATTTAGAATCATTGCAAAAAATTTGGATATAACAAAGACCACTTCCTGAATTTACTAGAATTAATTTAACTTCAAGTGTCCGAGTTTGTAATGAGCAGAAACTTTTTACTAATTTAAAGATAAGAAATAAACTTGATCCCACATTATAATTCATCTAACCATAACTGGCTTAAGCTAATAATGAACTAGATTCTTTCATTTATTGAACTAACTTGTCATATTATCTTTGAAAACATTAAGTAACCTATCAAGGAAGAGAAAGGGAATACGGGCAGGAGGAGGGAATGATGGAAATCCGTTTGAACTTGGGTAACCACCAACATCAGTTGTCATTAGGCCGGCTCTTATAAATGTAAGAAGAACAATGACAGATGCTAACACTTGCAAACACTTTATTTCGTAAATTTAGATAAAAAATGCACTCTTGCGAGCTTCCGTTTTATTGTTATTTGTCCGTTGATAATATCTGTTGCATCTTTCGCTGCAATTTAGAGAAAGTCCGACAATGCCATGAAAAAATAAAGCACAGCGAGCACAAACTCAGAAAATTTAAAAGTGGAAAACGCAACTGCAAAAACTTTACCTTTAACCGAACATTATGACTGGTGTGAACACCAAGGCAGAAGCGCACCTTCCACTGCTGAATTTTTTATATAAATGCTTATTTTAGTTGTTTGATGAACTGAAATGATTTTATCATTGCTGCACTTATTGGAATTTCTATATAATTTCACAATCCTGACACTTACCTTTTTCTGGTATACTTCGCAATCTGCAACAAATTGATAAATTTTCTAGGCACAAGGATATATGAAAGTTTTGCGCTGTGTTTCTTTGACTAACTCAATTTTAAGCTCTTGTCCTTTTGATAGAACAAACCGATTTGCACTTGAAATAATCATAATATTTATACTAAGATACAATAATAATAAAAACAACATATATCATACAACCTAATAACCACAGATCAAACCAATCAGTGATAACATATTATAGCACACCGTTAACTCTGAAGCACATTAAAAGACAAATAAAATTTTTGAAAATAAACAAAAAAATGAACCAGCAAATTAACGGTGCTGAGGAAAATTGGGATCAAGAACAGAACTCATAAAAGTTAAAGTAAACCTATCTAAATTTCGTGAATTCAATTTTCGGTCAAAAATGCACAAGAACCGAAAACACATTATCTATATCTTGCTCAGTCTTATAATTAAAATAAAATCCAACTGTTCTACAGGCTTATCATAACTGCCGAATATAAATGGGAATTTACGGCATCTAGTTAAAGGAAAACAGCGATTCCTCTTTATTCACAAGTAAATTGATTGCTGATATTAAAGAGGCAAATGCAAGCCCACGAAAGCAACTGTAGATATGTGTCAAAAAATGTTTAACAGGGAAGGAGTGACGGACAATAGGAAGAAAGACCTTAACCCAAGTTGAGCAAAAAACTCGAAAACAAACGCTAAAGTTATACTGCTGGTTAAAAGTTATCAAATTTTCAATTTAAAAAAGCTGGACAAAACAACTTGTATTTGCAAATAAAGTTTCGAAGAAATAAAAGTAAGACTGCTCCATTAAGATTCTAATTCAGATATACATCATAACGTAAGAAACATCAAAGAAAAGACGAGAATATATGCATGTCTGTCATCAATACATACATCAATTAAATTTTGTCAGAGAAGGCAGAAAACACCCACCACAAATTGTATTTCAGTAAATTGATAAACTTTAGTTTTATGCTTTACTAATTGTGCTGTGTACCACAGTACAAAAAAAAACTTTCATATATCCTACAATTTTTAATTTCAAAGCAGTGAAGTGTGAAATAGGTTTCTAATCAGATATCACATATTATATATCACTCTTCGCCAAACAGAAACGGTGAAG